CAGCAATGTCTCCAAGAGACAACTATGCATCTTTGAGGCGAGAAAATCGAGAACTAAAACTTGAGCTTGCTCGGATGCGGATGAGATTAAATGATCTAGAGAAAGAACACGTTTGTATGAAGAGGGATATGGTAAAGTCTCATTCTCGTAAATTTATGAGTTCTTTCTCAAAGAGAATTGGTAAACTAAGCTTCTTTGGACGTAGTTCTTCAAGAGGATCAAGTTCTCCCTCAAGGCAGTCCTACAGAACAGATTCTAAGGTGATTGAGAGGACATGTGCAAGCACTGACTAGAAAATTAAAATTACATGGGTTCTTTTCCTTGTATGTTGAGTAGGCCATGGTTTCGGTGACCTTTTATGTTAAAATGTTTTTTAACTTTTCTTTGGGCCACATTGTATATGAGTTGTGATGCTTTGAGTTAGCAAGAGTCAAGAGTGGAAGCTCTTCTCTGATTGAAAGTGATGGTTTCTGTAGAGAACAACTTTGATTCAGTTTAAAATTTACCTGAAGAATTTATCACTCCCGCACTTGCAGCAAATTTGATTCTATATCTTAATTGGTGTGGTTTTTTTCTTTAATTTGGAAATTTTCTAGCGGTGGAGTCAGTGCATGTTAAAGGTATCAGTTTTCTTAAGTCCAACGATTTGCTAGCATTCATCAGTGAGCTTCATTTCATTTTTTATCATGTTCCTCTTCGCTGTTAGAAATGCAATGATTATTGTTAGGAACAATGACTTAAATTTCATAATAAATTTATTTGAAATTTGTTAGAAATTTGTTGAGATTTGTTAGATATTGTTTGATAGATAAAAAAATTGACAAAAATTTTTTTTAAAAAAAAAGTAAATTCTTAATAGATAAGTTTGGTTTACAGAAAAAGAATTTTAAAAGGAAAATGATTCTTAATAGTCATGTTTATATTATTATAAATATGTAAAATCTCTATAAAATTATATATGAAAAAAATATAAAAAAATTGTAAGATTTTATGAATAAACACCTCGTAAAACAATTAAAGATTTATATCTTATCTTGATTGACTGATTTCGTAATGTTGTTGCTATCAAATACTACTATTTTTTGTTTTGGATCTTCCAAATCATTCCCGCATTAGATCTGGACCCATTTTTTTTATCCTTCAATAAAAAGATTCATTTTCTTCATAAAAAATTAGAGGTAGAACCAATAAAGATTTCTTTTTTGATTCCCCTCGAATAACTCAATATCAATACTGGAGTATCCCTTAGTAATGAATGCTCACGCGAGTTGGGATAGAGTAATATTCCTTGTTCTATCTATGTAAGACAAAAAAAACTCCATCTAGGAACTTCTAATTAAGATAGGAATACAATACACAGGTTGCACAAAAAAATTGTTTTTGCACCAATGTAAGTAAAGTCCGGAAAAGGTTTTATAAGATTAAAAAAGGTCCGTTGAGCGCCTCATGGATATGTCATAATAGATCCGAACACTTGCCCCGGATCGACTTCCAGATCATAATTGCTCTAGTGAATAACTAAAGAAAAAATGGATAGATAAAAAATAGATAGATGAGAGATAGAAGAGAAAGAAACTAATTATAAGCATCCCTCATTTGTTTATTTCTATCGCAACAAGATGAATTTTACCTCAGTTAAGAATGGACCAATTGTTAAATCTTGGATGGAAATATTTTTTACCCATTTCTCTCAGTAATCTATTATTAACAACTTCTTTCTAACTTCTTTTACTGTAAAAAAAAAAAAGAATACGAGATTCATGACTTGGTTCAAACAAGAGAAAGAAACAAACATAAAATTATTCATAGATATTCATGATATGTTCCCTATGGTAACCGGGTTCATGAATTATGGCCACCAAATAATTCGAGCAGCAAGGTACATTGGTCAAGGTTTCATGATTACCTTATCTCACGCAAATCATTTACTCGTAAGTATTCAATACCCTTATGAGAAATTAATCACATCAGAGCGTTTCCGTGGGTGAATCCATTTTGAATTTGATAAATGCATTGCTTGTGAAGTATGTGTTTTGTATGCCCTAATGATCTATCTCTTGTTGATTGGAAATTTGAAACGGATATTAGAAAAAAATGATTACTTAATTATAATATTGATTTCGGAATTTATATATTTTGTGGTAATTATGTTGAGTATTGTCTAACAAATTATGTGTGTGTATGTTTAGTTGTGAATGGACTAAAAGAAATTGAAATGATTTGTATAAGTATGATGTATAAGTGCATATATATATGTGTTTGATTGTGTTGAAATGGTGAATATGAGTATATATTTATTTGGATTAAGAAAATTTCATAAGATTAGAGGATATTAAGAGAGTCTATGGATATTAATTGTTAAGTGATTGATATGTTTTTATATATATTTGTAATTCTTTACAATTAGTAAATCTTGTTTCTCATTCGTAGACGTAGGTCAGTTGGACTGAACCATGTTAAATTATTGTTTCTTGTGTGATTGATTGATTATTTAATTTTATTTTTGCTGGCTTAATTAGATTGTGATTTTTTAACCTAATAAATGATATCAGAACTGTAGTAATTCTCAACAATTATAGTGTCTGTAATAATCTTGAGTACAATCAAGAATCATAGTGGAACATAGGAGATTTTCAAAGGCAATGTTCACAAATTTAAAGGAAGAAATCATAACAGCAACATCCATAGAAGAAAACATGGCATCAGTTAATGCACATTCATGTTAAATTTTGAGCATAGAAAAGGACGTATTGCACAAATACATGGAGAAAGAAAATTATCAAATTATCATAATCGGGCTAATCAAGCTACATTGAACAAATGTTTGAAGATTTTGGGGTTTTGCAGAATTCAACAAGTAAAATAGCCTGAAGATTCTGCTCTAGACACTGTCACTTTTCTTTTGCGTTCCTCGTATTTGGTAGGCAAGAAAAAAGAAACTCGGCGATTAAGCAACTTGCGGGCACTGTCATATTTCCTTAAGCAAGGTTTCAAAATGGTAACCTGTTTTTTGCATTCAGTCCCTAAAACATCATCCTGTTTTAAGGCTACTGCTTTACTGCTGCTGCTGCTAACCTCACTCAAATGATACTCTTTATCGTCCACAGATTCAATGTCAGATGTAGAATCTGTCACTGACATCTGTTTAAACTCTTTGTAAGTGCTCTGATACTTGGTTATCACATCGGCAAGGGATTCAAACTGTGATGGTCTATTAAAACTCTCACCACCAGCTTGCTCCCGGGGACTTGCCTCTTTCCAGCAACTGGCTTGAAATTCTTGCCACTGTGATGGGCTGTGGTCTCGGTGCTTGGGTGTTCTCCCAGCAGATGACTTGCTCGGTGACGTTTGCTCAAGAAGTTGTCGGTGCACATAATTTTTGGGAGATTGAGTTTGCTGTGAGGAAGGCTGGATGCTGTATCCTTTGGCTTTTATGAGTTTATAGATTGTAAGATTAGGAACAATGTAATAAACTCTCCCTAGATTTAAAACAGACTCAGGTCTAACCACAATCCATGGATACTCAAACACATCCGGCCGAGTAACACTGTGTCTCGGGTTCCTCTTCAAGATTTCTGCAGCAGTAATGGGCTTCTTGTGAATCTCCACATACCTACCTGGATGCACCAATTTCAGCACACCTTCCTCTCCTTCTATCATCTTTTGTTCTTCATTAGCAAATACCTGTAAAAAAAATGTCAAGGAAGAATTAATACACTGCATCACCTTGTTCTTATACTCTTGACTCTCTTGTCATGGTGGCCAAAATGGCGGTGAAATCAATGAAGCATCTTAGGATAAATGAGTATTCTAGTTCTAAGAATTCGTTTGTTTGTATAGTCTGGTTTGGATAAACATATATGGATGCGTGGTGATCAAGAGGAATTCTTTGTCCCGTTCAGTTTAGGAATAGTATCATTCCTGGCCGTAGAGCGTCTTTGTCTGTTTAATTATGCCAGTTTTCTATCATCTATTTTTTTAATGATTTCACACCTAGAAAGACTAACCATGGACCATGATCAAAATTATCTTGTCACATTCAAAGACAAGAACTCTCTAGAGATCATAGAGGAGAAACCATTGGCAATGACACCCACAAGAAATATTTACTTGGGTTCTTATGAATCAACTAGATATGGTAGAAAACTTGAAAAAAAAAAAAAGGCTAATTCCCCTTTTTCTGTTTTAACCCGTTAACACCATTAGTCAAAAATTAAAAAAATGGGATTCAATGTCTTCAAGATCGGAATACTGTCATTGGATCTGATCAGTTTTTACTTCCAACAATCTGGCTTCTTTCTCTTCTAATTTCCATTGTTCTTAAGCGACATTTTCATTTAAACAAAATCATATTTTTTATTCCAGATTGGTGAGTAAACATGTCTTGAAGAAGACCAGGCCCTGGAATATTAAAATGGCAGCCTATACTCGGCCAAAGTACTCGGCGCGATCCATAAAACCAATGACGTAGACAGCATAGATGATCCCAGGTACAGCGGACAAATGCAGAACTCCACGCTGCAACAACTCAAAAGGAGGGAGCAAAATTACGATCGGGAGTTCACAACAAATTTCACAGCAAGAAGACATGTTCGAGAAGAGGAGAGATGTGAGAGAGAATAATCGGTAGGATGAAGAATACGAGAGAGAAACGATGGTGCTGAAGCCCGCGTGCATTACGTTTTTACGGTTTTCCATTTTCGTGAATTTCTTTCCATCATCTTGGCATGTTCATGCAGCAATTAGTATTAGCCTAAATTTGGATCTGGTTGTATTACGTGATAAAGCACTTAGGACTAAAAGTGAAACATTGGCGGACGTCCGGTGAATGATAAAAGGAACTCAATTTCACTTAAGTAAAATCTCGATTTTGAATTTTGTGAAAAAAAAAAAGAATCACTTCGAAAGATCTTGCCTCCCTTATAAGATCTAACTTTGCCCAACTCCGGATTAATTGAAAATCAAAATGATTACCAGACATCAGGAAATTTCAGACAAAGAAAAATAAAAATGAAACAACTAAAAAGGAATCTGATCTATATAAGACATAAATTTATATGCTATCGTTTAATTTGGATACTTTTGGAGGGAGCTAGTATTATTTTAGACGTCCATGAAGACCATATGATAATTATGCCCACAACTAGCATTTAACCTGAATTTAGCTCATAAATCAATGGACTGACGTGCTGAACAAGGCTGCTTTCGAAGAGACAAGTTTTAAGATTACCAAATGAGCAAGAAAAGGTAGTTTTTCCAACTGCATGTGGAGGGAAAAAGAAAACACTGGAACTGGTCGATGTAGAAAGCAAGCACATGTTCATCAGAAGCAAATATCCAACCATCCCACAATTTGTGACACTTCCAAACAGTTTAAACAACATAATCTTATTGGGAAGATTTTTCTGACTTCCTCTCGTGGTCTCGATGCTTAAGCTGATGATTTGGTATAGAAGCGGATGCCAAAGGCCAATCCCAAGATTAGCAGGGGAACAAGGAATTGGAGAAGCTTTATGACAAATTCTGAGGTCTTGTCCTGGTCATAGTGAGGCTGCTTGGGAGGAGTGTACTTTGTCTTGGTGGGGATGGTTGATGTATTGATGTCACCCACATAAAACTCATCCATCATTGCTCTAGCACTGGTACTATGACCAACATCCTCAAAATCATCAGTTGCATCCTTCCCTACCAGCCATACACCAAACCAAGGTTATTTCCATTTTTCCATCTTCTACAACAATTCCCACATCAGATTATACAAAACATGTAGAAAAATTATGGTATTTGTCATACCTGTGGCAGACAACAAGACCTCATCACCACCAGGATGGTCCTCCAAGAATTTAGTCACATTGTATACCTGTTCAAACATAAGATATGGAATTTAAGGAGATCAGAATGGAACATAAACCATGGTGCCAAATCAAAATAAATAGTTAGCTCTAGAGTAGAATTTAACAATCAAATTAATGGTAGATTGATATCAAAAGCTGAACCCTGCTTCATGTTACCACAAGTTTGGTACTATTTAATTATTGTTGCTAACAGCCCCTTCAAATTGATGAAAAGAAATCCTAACCAAAACATTCATGTTCGTTTTCTGAGGGACTTCTGTTAAATAATGATAATGTTACCAATTGTTTAATCTCCAAAAAGATAAAAGAGTTGTAGATAATATTAGTAATAACTGGAGAGAAATAAAAATGAAAAATTCGAGTTGTTTTCATCTAAAACCCATCTACTAATGCAGTGAATTAGATACTACAACTAGCGAATATCCTTGCTATAATGTTCCTATTCTCCAAGTAACTTAATCATCAATAAAAGGAATATAGCCACCTAAAACACCATAGCCGATTTAGAACTCCACCAGAGATGGGAGAAAAAGTATATCAACAAAATGAAAACATTCTTTACATGCCAAGGACCAACAAATACTCTGCAAATTGAGGAAAAATACACACAAAATGGCTGATATCTCGTAGTGAAAATTATTACCAACTACAAAGAGAATACATTGTATAAAATCCATCATTTAGAATTCATAAAAAATATTGAATTTAAGGGTGAAACTAAATCCAATGGCAGCAACACAGCATATCAATAATCAAAACCACCAATCCGGATTAAGCTAATAATTATTAAGCAAATCCACGGAACTCAATAGCAGAGAGGCTGTTCTTGCATGCAGCTCTAGCAATCATCAGGATCAAAAGAAATTGTCAGATCTAAGCAAAATATTGCTTGTATTACTGAAGATGATTATTTTGAATCTGACTTATTAATCCACCCATAAGAAGGAAATTGAAAGTTTCTTTCAGTTTCATTTATCTTTCATATAGGAAAGATAGAACATGAAGTATCCTAAGCTTCTAGAGATAAGGCAAATATGCAGTGTATGTAAGCTGTCAGCTTCTAAGAGAGATCCATCCACTTGGATTCAAATTTCCTATGATCGGAGCCAAATAAACAAAAATCAAACAAACAAGAAAAGCACCTACTAATCAAATTAAAAAAGAGGCTTCCCAGATCCAATAACACTCAAATCTTGCAACTTCAGAATTAAATTAAAGCACCCAACTTTTGCAAAATATAAACAAAATAAACAATTTTAAACTAAAAAAAAAAACAACAACCCCAGATTGGGTCAAGAGCAAACTGGGTCATCCAATAAATTCTACCAAAAAAAAAAAGGAGTACCTTGCCCTCAATGACAAGCCAACAGTCTTTAGCATTGTTGTGTTGAGAAACCTCTGCCAAAGTATAGACCTTTCCTCCTCCACCCATTTTTCCCCTTCTTTTTTGATTGTTTGAGGAAGAAGAGCAGAGATTTGCTGATCAAACTAAACTCAAAGTTTACAGTAGTTGTCCTGTGGTTGCCACTTTCCACAGGCTCTTTATGTTGGGTTTTGAACAAAAAAACGTTATAAAAATAAGGGAAACTAAACGGGGGTGGATTTGGTTGGTAAGGTCAATGACTGATAGGAAATATTTTGATTGGCCGTAGGGTTGGTGAGGACTAAGGGTGAGTTGGTTGTATCACCAACCACTCCCCAAGGTTGCCTGGACTTTTTTTGGGGACATTGCAATTTTAATCCCTTTACTTTTATGTTTTTTCATAATTGGCCTTCCCTTTTTCTTTTTGGCGTTTTGAGTTGTTTTTTTTTTTAGATGATTGACTGTTGATTATTTCTTGGATTTTGACATTTCTGTCACTTCATTTTCCTTTAAATTTTAAAATTAAAGATTTGAGGCCTTCAATTACAAAAGATATTTAAGACACATTATTATAGAACATATAAAACCGTGTAATTAAGCTATTGGGATTTTTAGATTTTAGTCCCAACAAATCTAATATTATTTTCACAAAGCCCTCCCCATTTTACCAGAAATTTAAAAGGTCCCTAATGTGTAAATTTCTTTCATAATTCTCAACCTTTTATTTTTATTCTACTTTGATCTCTATATTTGAATTGTTTCATTTGATTCCTTGAGTTTTTAAATGGTTCCGTTTTGATCCTTCGTCAATGTTGTAGCTTATGTAGTATGTAATGTGGACATTTTTCTTAATTGTTAATAAAAATTTTGATAAAAAAAATAAAAATAAAACTATTTTAAAAAGTTAAAGAATCTAAATGCAACAATTCAAATGTTAAGAATTAAAGTGAAACTAAAATAAAAAAATTAAAGATCATATATTATAATTTATCGGAACTTATAGAACTTACAATCATTACAAATTATTATTATTATTATTATTATTATTATTATATGTTTGTGTGCTTTGTTTATATTATCTAATTTATATAAATAATATTTAAGTTAAGAGTCTATAATCTTTTTTTTATATAAAATATTAGATTTATAGTATCAATAATTAAAATTTAATTCTTAATCATATTAAATATTTAAAAAATTCAAGCTAAGAAATAGTTGGAGGTTGAGGCGTCCAATTCAACAACCTTAGGCCACGAAGGGCTCGTTTCATATTTTTTAATTCTCTCTTTTAGGATATTACTTCTCGATATTAAAGGATTGAGTTAGGTGAGAAAATAATAATAATAAAAACAACTAAAAGTCTACTTTGGAGAAACATTTTGTTCATTTTCAACTATGTATCTATTTATATTTTTTTTCCGTGCAGAAATTATTGACAGAGTGAAGAGGATGGAAGAGACCGAAGATGTTTGCCTACCAAATTTGATTCAATCTCAGAATGCTTTCTAGTTTCTACTAAAAGTTGCATTGCCTGTACAATGAATTGCGAATTGCATGGGAATGCATTAAACCAAAGTCATGGAAAAATTATAAATCGGTCCAGAACATAGTGCCATTTTTCTTCACCTTGATTTTTTTTTAATAAATGATGGTGTTTTATTTATGCAAGAAACCTAAAAAGATGCTACCAATAAATTTTACAAACACAATGAACAAAATACAAAAAAAAAACTTAAAGGTAATGTTTCTAAATTTAATATGTCACATGCAATGAAAATTTAATTTTAACGATACGTTCTCCAAAATTTTTTTAAAAAATTTATACAAGTTTTGATTTTAAATCAATATTTCGTGTTTTTTTAGATGTTTAATTTAATACTATAATTAAACTTTTAAAGTTGTACTAAATTTCAACCTTGATGTTTATTAAATTTATTCATAGATTGAGTGAATCGTTCGAACTCGAAAATTCGTATGAAATTTAAAAGATTTTGACATGAATATTAATTTCACTAAAAAAGTTTTGACAAATAAATTAGACCTAATAAAAAAATAAAGCTAAACTTTGGTTTAACCATTTAATGTTCGGATTTGATTTGATTCAAAAATTAAAAAAATATTTTTATTATAATGAGACAAGACCCATTTATTTTTTTTTATAATAAACAATGTTTATTTGCTTTATTACTTATAATAAAATAAAGCTCAAATTTCTTATGCAAAACATTAAAATAATGATCAAATTTTAAATTATATTTAATAAAATTAAATTAGACCTAAGTTTAAATGATTTATAAATTAAATTAAAATTAGTTAAATTAGCAATTTATAATTTTTTTTTAAATTTAAATATTAATACTTTTGGCAAGCTTGAACCTTTCTATGATATATATATATATAGATTTAGACAAAAAATAAAATCCAAACAATTGAGTTAAATCGAACTTAAATTTATTTAAAATACTTAAGTATCATATTAGACTTGACCAACTCAACTCATGAGCATCTTTAATGCTAAACAATACTATTTTAATTGGTTAGTTGGTATGAGATTAAAAAAAAAAAAGTCAAAAGGAAGAATTATTATTATTATTATATAAAAAATAAAATTTATATTTTTTTCTTTCATCAAAATTTAATCAGTTGAAAGTAAGAGAAAAACACCTATTTAATTTATCAATATCTGTTAATTCGAGTGATAAAAAATTTAATTTTTTTAAATAAAATTTTGATTTCAAGTATTGTAAGTAAAAAAAATAAACATTAGGAAAAATTTATCGTATTTTATAAAGTCTAACATGACTTGACTTCAAAATAATTAAAATTTAAAATGATTATCAAATATAAAAAAATCTCAAATAATAAAGAAAAAACTTATTCAACTTAATTAATAATCATGAGCTATAACAACAGTGGGTTATCTTTGGATCCTACGTCGAAGTGTACATGAGGCTCTCGTAGGTCATATAAAAATTCCATGATTGTTAAAATCAATTAATTTTTAACTATTGATATATTTCTTAAAAATATGAAATTAATAATTTTACTTTTTAATTTTATCTTGAAACTTTTTTTTCTAATTTTTTACCAAACATAAAGAAAAAAAAAGTAATTTTCTCTCTCTTTCCTTTTTCTTATTTTTCTCTCTTCGTTTTTTTTCCCCCTTTCCTACCAAACCTAATATTAATGGTACTAAATCAAATGATTTAAAGAAAAAATTGGACACAAAAAATTTAATTAATACATTTTGACATGCGATAGTTTTTGTTACGGTGTAAACTTTAAAATTCATATCAGAACCTAGAGACTATTTACTTGATCACTAAAAAATTTATTATTATTATTTTTTAAGATTTTGTTTGATAGATATTTTATTTTATTTTTATGTTTTACGTTATTTTAATAAAAATATAATAAAAAAGCAAATACATCGGAGCCTTAGTTAATAATATATTATTATGAATGAAAATATGATTTTGATGAGGGGTGATATTTAAAAATGAAAACTTAAATTAATACAACATTAATTAAATTAAAATTTGATTTTTTTTCCTTGAAAGAAAAAAATTAGGATATTTTGGCCCAAGCATTTTTGAATCTGAGATGTTTTGGGCGGGCTATGCACGTCTTTTGTATTGAAGGTTCAGAGTCCAGTGTACTAGTCAGTCCAACTGGTGACATGTCATAATTTTATTGCACATTCTCCCTTATTCTAACCCATATCCCATAAACCTAACCGCACTCAATCACAAAACAGCCATACAAAGTACAAACCCAAAGGCCCTAGCAAACCTTTCATTTGTACATTTACATTTCTTCTTCTTCACTTAGCGGCTCCTTCAGAGAGAGAGAGAGAGAGAGGAAGCTCCAATAATAAGGTAAAAAGAATGGTGTCCGGATCAGGGGTATGCATGAAGAAAGTGGTGGTGGATGCCCGCCACCACATGTTGGGACGGTTGGCTTCAATTGTGGCCAAGGAGCTGCTCAATGGCCAGAAAGTTGTCGTAGTCAGATGCGAGGAAATTTGCATGTCGGGCGGACTCGTTCGCCAGAAGATGAAGTACATGAGATTCCTACGGAAACGCATGAACACCAAGCCTTCTCATGGTCCCATCCACTTCCGTGCCCCCGCCAAGATCTTCTGGCGCACCGTTCGTGGGTCAGTCTTTACCTATATCACTCACTTCTCTATTTGGCGTGTTTATTTTGTCTGATTTTATAAAATCAATAGCTAGAGTGGAATGGGCTTGTCGATAGTTATGTCTTCTTTTATTCTGTGAAGAAATGAAGCTAAACCCAAATAGTTAAATGCTTGCATTTTGAACACTAAATCAAAATTTGTTTATTTTTAATGAGATTTAATGGTTAATGACATTTGCAGAATGATACCACATAAGACTAAGCGTGGCGCGGCTGCCCTTGCTCGTTTGAAGGCTTATGAGGGTATTCCCACCCCATATGACAAGATTAAGAGGATGGTCATCCCTGATGCTCTTAAGTAAGTTTCTCTATTGTCTTTCATTTTTTTTTATTGTAGTGTAATCCTCTGAATTTTGTTCTAACATTTTTTTCTATCTTTAAAAAAAATGTAATTAGGGTCCTGAGGCTTCAGAAGGGGCACAAGTACTGCTTGTTGGGCCGCTTGTCATCAGAGGTCGGATGGAACCATTACGACACCATCAGGGTGAGTTTATGTTTCATTCAGTGCTTTTCTATAGACTGTCCTTAAATCGATCTATGCCCTTATTTTCGAGATAATCATTGTGTAACTTAGGGTTTAAAGTAACGCTTAAAAGTTTTTTGATGGTTAACTTTGTATTTGCTTGTCAGCATTTGTTAATTGCTTGTTTAGTTATTGAGGAAAACAATTGATGGATTTGATTTGTCATTCTATCTTTTCTCTTTTAGGAAGTGGGAATTTGTATTCTTGTTCCTTAGTGCTTTTAGGAAGGGTGTGTATGCGAAAATCTGCAGAGAGAAATTGGAATTGTATTAGCATTTGTTGTGTTATAAGCTGTCTGAATTCAGCTTTACTCATCTCTAATTAAAAATTTACTTGCATCAAGGAAAAAGATCAGTAACTCTAACCTGGATGCATATTGTTAGGTTACTTAGTTACTGCTTCTCCATTTTAGGGATGTGATCGGGTTTTGTTTTTATTGACCTTTCTTTGTTAATGGTAAAAAATATGCAAGTCTTGTGAGTGTTGAGATCAATGAGGAAACATGGCAATGTCATTCAGATTGAATTGTCAATCTTTTCATTTACTTTGGGGTCATCCTTTTAAACCTTGAAGATGTAAAGTTAATAGATGATAATTCTATTGAAATTTTGTTTCTAATTATACTTTGGACTCCAGGAGCTGGAGAAGAAGAGGAAGGAGAGAGCTCAGGTTGCATATGAGAGGAAGAAGCAGCTGAACAAGCTTAGGGTAAAGGCTGAGAAGGTTGCAGAGGAGAAACTTGGCTCTCAACTAGACATCCTTGCCCCTGTTAGTTACTGAATTTCTAGTTTCTAGCTAGTTTCTTGCTATTTTGTTGGTTTCAGTGTTTAATTCTGTTCAAGATGTGAAGGCTGAAAATTTGTTCGATCGGAATTTTCCTGTTTTCCTATTTTGGCCGTAGGATTCTCTCAATATATTTCAGATATGCTTTACAATCAATTCGTGCATTAATACTCGTAGTGTTTTATTTGCTATTGAATTTTATATGTTTTGATCATTGAGATGGTTGTGCTTGGATTCATTGTTAGAAAACATAGGCAGTTTATAAATTATGGTTTGTTATCAATTTCCTGTTTTGCAAAGAGTGTAGTGTAGCACTTGGAAGTTGGGACTTAGTTCATTTCGATCATACATCTCTCTTTTAAGAGACAACATTTAATAGATATAAGTTTAAATTTTAGCACCTGTATTTTTGGTGTAATTTCGATTTACCTTTTCTTATCAATCACTTCTTGCCAGGAGTTGGGAAGTTGGGGACCAAAACTGTAGTTTTATTGGTGTTGAAGGAAGGGGAGACGAACTATAAAAGTATGAACAACCAAAGCTATTTACAGCTTGATCACAATTGGCAAAACAGGATCTATTCAATACTGCCATAACAGATATAACAGGTGCCAGCAAACGTTCTTGAAAAATCAAGTGGAAAAATTTTGCTATTTATATCTCAGACTGGAAAGAATTAGTTCACATTTTAATGGGAAATATTGATTGTAAAGGTTCCTGAAAGCACTGTTCGTCTATAGATTAACTGCAAGTGTCATATTGAAGTGTCAATTGTTAGAGTTTGGTATCACCAATTGTTTGACATCAACTCAATTTGTATGCCTTATTTGATATTATGCCCATTCAAAATTTGTCAATTAGATATAGTTCAAATAGAAACTTATATGCCCTATTTTGAAATGATATTTCAAAATTGTATTCTAATTTTGGTTAAAGCTGAACATTTTTTTTTGGTATCTTCAACAGAATAACATAAAAAGATATATTAAATATATTTATTGTTTTGGAAAATTATGTATATAAAAGGTTACACAACGATAGCAAATTAGATATAAGGCTAGAAAAATTATTTGCTTGAAACTATGTAATTGAGCTGCTAACACAATATATTACTACTAGCATATTTCCCATCACGAGTCAGGAGTCACGAGAAGGCAGCCCCGAGCAAGCGGGACGTATTTTGATGAGAAAAATCGAGAGCGTTACATACCTTAGCCTTTCAATCGAAGACTCCGTTGCAACTTTGCAATCTTCAATGCCATAGTCAAGCAGATCCAATCTCCTAACTTGCTCAAGAACCCAAAATACTGTATCTCCAAGACCTGTTAATCAATAATGCACCCAAAACCCCCCAAAATCCAATAACGAATCCAGCCGCCATGCCGGTAAAAAACCACAAAGGTTCAGACAATTCTTCATCCCTATCAGTGCTACTTTCACTACCACCGTTGTTACGCGGCCTTGTTATTTCGTCTCCAGGACACTTATTCAACGGGGCTCCACACAGCCCCAGATTCCCTAAATATGAAGAAGCATTGAAACTCTGCAGTTGAGTGCTTGTGGGAATTCTTCCTGACAAATTGTTGTTCGACAAGTCCAAAACACCGAGAAAAGATAAATCAGCCATACTCTTCGGGATTTCACCAGAAAGGCTATTTGTTGACAAATCGAGTGACTCCAACCTTTGCAATTGGCCAATCTCCCTAATGATGCTTCCAGTCAACATGTTTCTTGATAGATTCAGAGTAATCAACCCTTGGAGGCTTGCTATTTCTCTAGGGATTTTCCCATTTAATTTATTACTTGACAAATCAATGACCTTTAGTAAACCAAGGGTGTTGCCATATTCTTGTTCCACACCTTTCCATATAACTAATAGATGATCATCGTAGGTACCCCAGGCATTCATCTGGGAAGTACTGTCCCCTGTGTAATCGAGGACAGCATAAATATAAATAAATTCGATTGTTGCTTGCGAACTCCCAAGGTGAGCCATGGCTGTCAAATTGTTGAGGCACGATGGAATGGTTCCTGATATATTGTTCAGAGAAAGATCCAATATTTGAAGAGACTGCTGGCGACATAGAGTTGAAGGTATGTTGCCATGAAACTCATTTGATCGTAGACGAAGAGCAATCAAACTCTTGAATCTTTCCCCTAACCATGGTGGAATGATGCCAGTTAATTTATTCTCCCCCAGATCCAGAAGTTTCAATTCTGTACAATTTTTTAGGGATTGAGGTAGTTCACCATACAAACGAGTGTTCCGTAAACGCAATGATTTAAGTAGAGCGAGTGAGCCCACTGAATTTGGGATTATCCCTGACAAATTATTATTCTCCAAATTGATAACAGTCAACCTCCAGTTCTTCATCCAACAATCTGGAATGCTACCTGATAACAAATTGTTAGAGAGGTCAAGATATCCCAAAGGATTATCCTTCTTTGCGCATAAGAAAGACAATGGTCCACAGAACATGTTTTTGGATAGATCCAATAGTGTCAAATTAGAAAAAATTGAGGTATGGGACCATAAAATAGGTTCGAACTTAAATCTATTAGAGGCGAATAATCCAATTTTAATGGCAGATTTGGAACGCCCCCACTGATGTTGTTGAAGGAAAGGTTTAAACACGTTAGTGTCGAAGGCAGATCCCAAAAGCAGTAGGGATGGCGTCTGAAATCTTGGAGTGGGAGATATCCAGGTGGGAGAAATTAGTTTGCCGTCTAAGCCAGCCAGGAAACTGCGGACCTAGCTCACAAGATCTCATTTGAATATGATCAAGTTGAAAGGGAGGGATCCAATCAGAGCTGAGATTCAAAGACAAAGAATTAAAGGATATGAACAGTACTCGCAACTTTGAAACATTAAACAGGAGGGCTTCGGAAATGACACCATTCAAAGAGTTTGAGGCAACATTCAAGAGCACAAGTTGAGACATTTTCCCGATGCTGACTGGAAAAGGCCCTTCAAATCGGTTACGTGCAAGAGATAATTCTCTCAACGATGATAATCTTGAAAGATCGGGCAATGGTCCAGTGAATCGGTTTCCTTCCAAATTTAAAACAGTGAGCTTAGAAAAATTTCCAAAGTTATCTTTAACTTGTCCGCTCAATCGGTTATATTCAAGATCTAATACTCTCAAGGATGAAAATGGTACGAAACTGGGCATTGACCCATTGAGATGGTTAATACCCAACAACAAAATCTCCAGAGAATCCTTAGCACACCCACTTAACTTTTCCAGAGTAACGGTTAGAGGTTCAGAGAGCCTGTTTCTCCCCAGGTCTAATTTTTTTAAATTACAAAGATTCCCCAGGGACTTTGGTATTCCTCCTTCGAGACGATTAGAGTAGAAATAAATTTGTTCTAGAGCTGGCATGTTCTCAAAAGAATCTGGAATCAAACTTGATAAATTGTTATAAGAAAGGTCGAGTTCAACCAAGTTACTACTTATATTCAGCAACAGAGGAAAAGTTGAGGGATGGAAACTAAAACATACAGTTAGGTGAAGTACAGCCAGAGAATTTGAAGAGTTAAAACGGGAAAGAGATGAAGGATCAACCTCTGCAAAGTCACAATTTTCTAAGTGTAAAACTGAGAGGGAAGGATGAGATTGAATTACTTTGAGCCAGTTTGATGCTTTTGTAAAATCGGTTCTAGCGATTTTAAGTAATTTTAGAGAAGAAAGACGAGAAAGCCATTCAAGGTTGTCTGTAATCATTGATCCCTTGTTGTCACTGAGATCAAGATAAAGCAGTCTGGAAAGGTTCCCAAGCTGGTAAGGAATGATTCCGCTGAGGGAATTGAATGAGAGATTGAGATATGTGAGCTCAGTAAGTGAACCAATGAACTCTGGGATCCTTTCGAAACCATTCAAAGAGAGGTCAAGGTGACTCAAGTGCCTCAATTCAAGCAAGGAAGAGCTGATCTTACCTTCCATTCTCGTGTAAATCATACTCTCCACGAAGTCATCGTATATTAAACTGGGACGGAGGTCCAGCATGACAACATGGCCAGTGGTGTTATCGCAGCCAACCCCTCTCCACTTGCAACAGTCTTCTTCTTTGCTTGTCCATGAGGGTAGGAGGTTGTCATAATCATCAAGACCTTTCTTGAAATCAAGGAGAGCCCGTCTCTCTGCTGTAATACACCTCAAGCTCTGATTTCTGATAGCAATACTAAAACTAGCAGCGGTTAGCGCAAATAGAAGCGCAACCCAAAGTTGAAATTGAACGCCTCTGAGCCCTTTCATGAAGACCGAAGTAATGGCAACAATTCACTCTGAAATGGTAATTCGAAGCATAATACTTCTTAATTTATTATCTTTTTTTAATAAAAATTAATATATATATTTTTATCTAAAAATATTGTTTAGAATTGATCAATAACTTTTTATCACGCAACATCTGTATAGATAATTTTATAAAATATTTAATATTTTTATTTAATAAATGAGATGCATATGACAAAATTACATTAATTAGATATCATGTAAGTGAATTAAATTAATAATATTAAAATTTAAATCAAAATGATACGTTATTTAAAAATTTAGAGTATTAATAATTTATTTTATTTTTATAAAATTCATATAACAAAAGTGTAATTAACTCTTAAAAAAATCTAATAACTGAAAAGATTTAAAAATACATATAGTGGAAGGAATGTTTTCAAAAAACCCATTTGATCGTAGACGGTGAACAACCAAATCTCTTTGGAATTCCCCTATCCAAGAGGAAATGAAAACATGTAAATAATTTATTTTCATCAAGATCCAGAAGTTTCAATTTGGTGAAATAGCTTAAAGGAGCTGGAACTGTAATAGTTATCATATAAATGAACATATCGAAGAGTTGGCATACAATTGAACCATTTAAATTGTTTCCGAAGGGTTGGAGGTCAACCAAGTTATTACTTAAATTTAGCAACAAAGGAGAAGCTGCAGGACGCAAAGAAAAGAATTAAAATTAAAGTACTGCTATTTTATAACATCTAAAAAGTAATTGGTATATGAAATCGATGTAATCTCTGAGTTATATTTTATTCTTAGATAATATTTGATACTATTTTTATGATCATAATGTGATTTTACTTGTTTGATCTTATTACTAGGAATTTAATATTATCATATTTCATTAAGACTATAATATATATGCTTATAATAATATCATATAGTCTAATAAATGATATATGGTAATATATGAAAATCAATTAACGGGTGGGTGCCTATGTTGTTACCACTTATTAGACGTGACACGGTAGTGAAGAAAAAAAGAAAACAGAAAGAATCGAACTCAATTAATTATAATATGTATGTTTATAATAATTTTTTCTGTAAATGAACACTCTTGATTTTACTTTATGCTTCTTTCACTTATTGAGAAAAGTCTTGTCTGTAACATAATTAAATATATGATTTTAATGAGGCGTTGAGGCTTCAGAAGGGGCACAAGTACTGCTCGTGGGGCCGCTTGTCATCAGAGGTTGGATGGAACCATTACGACACCATCAGGGTGAGTTTATGTTTCATTCAGTGCTTTTCTATAGACTGTCCTTAAATCGATCTACGCCCTTATTTTCGAGATAAGCATTCTGTAACTTGGGGTTTAAAGTAACGCTTAAAGGTTTTTTGATGGTTAACTTTGTATTTGCTTGTCAGCATTTGTTAATTGCTTGTTTTGTTATTGAGGAAAACATTTGATGGATTTCATTTGTCATTCTATCTTTTCTGTTTTAGGACTTGGGGATGTGTATTCTTTTAACTTAGTGCCTTTAGGAAGGGTGTATGTGCGAAAATCTGCAAAGAGTAATTGGTATTGTATTAGCATTTGTTGTGTCATAAGCTGTCTGAATTCAACTTTCTCATCTCTAATTAAAAATTTACTTGCATCAAGGAAAAAGATGAGTAATTCTACCCTGGATGCATATTGTAGGTTACTTAGTTACTACTTCTCCATTTTAGGGATTTGATTGGGTTTTGTTTTTATCGACCTTTCTTTGTTAATGTTAAAAAATATGCAAGTCTTGTGAGTGTTGAGATCAAGGAGGAAACATGGCAATGTCATTCAGATTGAATTGTCAATAAATATTCATGTTAAGTGCCCTCAATTATGCTATTAGTTATGTCTTGAAATTTACTTGGGGGTCATTCTTTTAAACCTTGAAGATGTGAAGTTAATAGATGATAATTCTATTGAAATTTTGTTTCTATGTATACCTTGGTCACCAGGAGCTGGAGAAGAAAAGGAAGGAGAGAGCTCAGGTTGCATGTGAGAGGAAGAAGCAGCTGAACAAGCTTAGGGTAAAGGCTGAGAAGGTTGCAGAGGAGAAACTTGGGTCTCAACTAGACATCCTTGCCCCTGTTAGTTACTGAATTTCTAGTGGCTAGCTAGTTTCTTACAATTTTGTTGGTTTCAGTGTTTAGTTCTGTTTGAGATATTAAGGCTGAAAATTTGTTGAATCTAACTTTTCCTGTTCTCATAATTTGGCCGTAGGATTCTTTCAATATATTTCAGATTTGCTTTACAATCAATTCGTGCATTAACACTATTAGTGTTTTATTTGCTATTGAATTTTATATGTTTTGATCGCCGAGATGGTTGTGCTTGGATTCATTGTTAGAAAACATAGGCAATTTATAAAATGTTGGTTTTGTTTTCAATTTCCTGTTTTCCAAAGAGTGTAGTGTAGCACTTGGAAATTGGAACTTGGTTCATTTCATTCATACATCCCTCTTTTAAGAGACAACATTTAATAGGTATAAGTTTAAATTTTAGCACTTTTTTTTTTTTGTCTCTAGCTTACGTATTATTGTTAGAAAAAAGAAAACAAAAGTGGTGTTGATGTGCAGTCTGAACCGGTGTAAATTCGGTTTCCCTTTTCTTATCAGTTACTTCTTGCCAGGAGTTGGGAAGTTGGGAACCAAAACTGTAGTTTTATTGGTGTTGAAAGAAGGGGAGACGAACTTAAAACGTATCAATAACCAAAGCTATTTATAGCTTGATCACAATTCCCAATACCGGATCTATTCAACAATGCCATAACAGATATAACAGGTACCTGCAAACTCTCTTGGAAAATCAAGTGGAAAAATTTTGCTATTTAGATCTCAGAGTGGAAAGAATTAGTTCATATTTTAATGGGAAATATTGATTGTAAAGGTTCTTGAATATATATTACATTACAAATATCATATTGCAATGTCAATTGTTAGAGTTTGGTGTCCGATTATTGGGCGTCAACTCAATTTGTATGCCCTATTTTGATATTATGCCAATTAAAAACTGTCGATTAGATATTGTTCAAAAAGAAACTGGTATGCCCTATTTTGAAATGATATTTCAAAATTTTGTTCTAATTTTGGTTAAAACTGAACTTTTAATTTTTTTGTTATCTTCAACAGAATAGCATAAAACGATTAAAAAAAGGGAATCCAAATATATTTATTTTCTTGGAAAATTATATATATAAAAGGTTACACAACGATAGCAAATTAGATATAAGGCTAGAAAAATTATTTGCTGGAAACTATGTAATTGAGCTGCTAACACAATATATTACTACTATCACATTTCTCATCATGAGTCACGAGGAGGCAGGCCTGAGCAAGCAGGACGTATTTAGATGAGAAAAATGGAGAGCGTTACATACCTTTGCCTTTCAATCAAAGTCTCCGTTGCAACTTTGCCATCTTCAATGCCATTGTCAAGCAGATCCATTCTCCTAACTTGCTCAAGAACCCAAAATATCTATGTCTCCAAGACCTGTTAAGCAATAATGTACCCAAAACCCCCCAAAATCCAATAACGAATCCAGCCGCCATGCCAGTAAAAAACCACAAAGGCTCAAACAATTCTTCATCCCTATCAGTGCTACTTTCACTACCACCATTGTTTGGAGGCCTTGTTATTTCATCTCCAGGACACTTACTCAACGGGGCTCCACACAGCCCCGGATTCCCTGAATATGAAGAACCATTGAAACTCTGCAGTTGAGTGCTTAAGGGAATTTTTCCTGACAAATTGTTGTTCGATAAGTCCAAAACACTCAGAAAAGATAAATCAACCATACTCTTCGGAATTTCACCAGAAAGGCTATTTGTTGACAAATCGAGTGACTCCAACCTTTGCAATTGGCCAATCCCCCTAATAATGCTTCCTCTCAACATGTTTCTTGATAGATTCAGAGTAATCAACCCTTGGAGACTTGCTATTTCTTCAGGGATTTCCCCACTTAATTGATTACTTGACAAGTCAATGATCTTTAGTAATCCAAGGGTTTTGCCATATTCTTGTTCCAAACCTTTCCATATAACTAATAAATGATCATCGTAGGTACCCATCATCCAAATATTGGAAGTAAAACTCCCTGTGAAATCGGCGTCAGCATAAGGATACGAGGAGTGGACTGTTGCTTGCAAACTCCGAAGGTGAGCCATGGCTGTCAAATTGTTGAGGCACGATGGAATGGTTCCTGATAAATTGTTCAGAGAAAGATCCAATATTTGAAGAAACTGCTGGCGACATAGAGTTGAAGGAATGTTGCCATGAAACCCATTTGATCGGAGACAAAGAGCAATCAAACTCTTGAGTCGTTCCCCTAGCCATGGTGGAATGATTCCAGTTAATTTATTCTCCCCCAGATCTAGAAGTTTCAATCCTCTACAATTTTCTAGGGATTGAGGTAATTCACCATACAAACTAGTGTTCCGTAACCGCAATGATTCAAGTAGAGCTAGTGAGCCTACTGAATTGGGGATTATCCCTGACAAATTATTATTCTCCAAATTGATAACAGTCAACAGCCTGTACGTCATCCAACAATCTGGAATGCTACCCGATAACAAATTGTTAGAGAGGTCAAGATATCCCAAAAGATTATCCGTCTTTGTGCATAAGAAAGACAATGGTCCGCAGAACATGTTGTTGGACAGATCCAATACTGTCGAGTTGGAAAAAAATTGAGGTATGGGACCATAAAATAGGTTCGATCTTAAATCTATTACAGGGATATAATCCAATTTTAATGGCAGATTTGGAACGCTGCCACTGATGTTGTTGAAGGAAAGGTTTAAATACATTAGTCTCGAAGGCAGATTCCAAAACCAGTAGGGGATGGCGTCTGAAATCTTGGAGTGGGAGATATCCAGGTGGGAGAAATTAGTTTGCCGTCTAAGCCAGCCAGGAAACTGCGGACCTAGCTCACAGGATCTCATTTCAATATAATCAAGTTGAAAGGGAGGGATCCAATCAGAGCTGAGGTTCAAAGACAAAGAATTAAAAGAGATGAAAAGTAGTCTCAACTGGGAAAGATTAAATAGGTGGGCTTCGGAAATGACACCATTCAAGGCGTTTGAGGAAACATCCAAGAGCACAAGTTGAGACATTTTTCCGATGCTGACTGGAAAAGGCCCTTCAAGTTGGTTACTTGCAAGATACAAATTTCTCAACCATGATAATCTTGAAAGATCGGGCAATGGTCCAGTGAATCGGTTTCCTGCCAAATTTAAAAAAGTGAGCTCGGAAAAATTTCCAAAGTTATCTTGAACTCGTCCGCTCAGTCGGTTATTTTGAAGTTCTAATATTGTCAAGGATGAAAATGGTACGAAACTGGGCATTGACCCATAGAGATCGTTAAAAGCCAACGCCAAAATCTCCAGAGAATCCTTAGCACACCCACTTAACTTTTCCAGAGTAACGGTGAGAGGTTCAGAGAGGTTGTTAAACCTCATGTCTAATGCTTGTAAACTGCAAAGATTCCCCATGGATTTTGGTATTCCTCCTTCGAGACGATTATTGTAGAATTTAATGAATTCTAGAGCTGGCATGTTCTCAAAGGAATCTGGAATCGAACCTGATAAATTGTTAGAAGAGAGGTCGAGTTGAACCAAGTTACTACTTATATTCAGCAACAGAGGAAAAGTTGAAGGATGCAAACTAAATCCTGAAGTTAGGCTCAGTACAGCCAGAGAATTTGAAGAGTTAAAACGGGAAAGAGATGAAGGATCAACCTCTGCAAAGTCACACTCTTCTAAGACTAAAACTGAGAGGGAAGGATGAGATTGAATTACTTGGAGCCAGTTTGATGCTTTTGTAAAATCGGTAGAACCGATTCTAAGTGATTTTAGAGAAGAAAGACGAGAAAGCCATTCAAGGTTGTCTGTAATCATTGATCCCTCGTTAACCGAGATCAAGATAAAGCAGCCTGGAAAGGTTCCCAAGCTGGTTAGGAATGATTCCGCTGAGAAAATTGGCTGAGAGATCGAGGTATGTGAGCTCAGTAAGTGAACCAATGAACTCTGGGATCCTCTCGAAACCATTAAAAGAGAGGTCAAGGTGACTCAAGTGCTTTAATTCAAGCAAGGAAGAGCCGATCTCACCTCCCATTCTCTTGTAAGTCAAATTCATCCGGGAGTTATCGTTAGTGATTCTGGGATGGAGGTCCAGCATGACAACATGGCCAGTGGTGTTGTCGCAGCCAACCCCTTCCCACTTGCAGCAGTCTTCTTCTTTGCTTGTCCATGAGGATAGGCGGCTGTCATTATCAACAAGACCTTTCTTGAAATCAAGGAGAGCTCGTCTCTCTGCTTTAATACACCTCACGCTTTGATTTCTGATAGCAATACTGAAACTAGCAGCAGTTAGCGCAAATAGAAGCGCAACCCACAGGTGAAATTGAACTCCTCTGAACCCCTTCATGAAGAACGAAGTAATGGCAACAATTCACTCTGAAATGGTAATTCGAAAGAGTGTCTAAATAATAGCTACTTTGATAATTTAGATGATATATTTATAACTATAATGTTAATTTTACTCCATTGGAGGTAACACGTGGCATTTTATTTTTGTTTTTTGTTTTAATTTTTTTAATATTTACTATATATTTTTTAAGACTTAAATTTTTTAAGTGAGACTCACTTTATACCATTTTTTATTTTTTAAATTTACTTTTTAAAAATTTTTAATAAAATTTTTTAAAATTTTAATTCTATTTGCGTAAGTCTATTTGAAGTCAAGAGTATGGCACATGTTTATATTTTTTAAATTATTATATATATTTAATAAATAATTTTTTAGATTTCAAATGTGACCCATTTTTTTTATTTCCTTTTTAGTTTAAAATTATTTTTTAATTGGAGTGTGCCGTTTTTTGTTTTTGTTTTTTTTATTCTTTTTAATTTTTATATATTTAATAAATATTTTTAAAAAAATTTTAAATTCTTTTTTATCTTGTCAACTTAATACTGGGGTTTTACCATTTGTCAAGTTTTTTTTTTTATATCATTTTTTCTATTTACTTATTTTTTATAAATATTTATAATATCTTTATGGTATTTTAACTTTTTCAAATTAAGATCCATTTGATATTACTAATTAAAAATTTTATTTTTTGTTTTTTTTTTCTCAATTTGATAATTTTTAAAAAATGATATTAGGAAATGCTCATCACTATTAATGTCATGTGTCAATTCAACTTTTTTTTTATTTTTTTATTTTTTACTTTTTAATTAGATTATTTCATTAAAAAAAAGCCAACAAATGTATATAAGTGATATTTTATTTCGTTTTTTTCCTTTTTGATATTTTTTATCAAATAATTTTTTAATAAAAATTTAATAAATAAATTTTTAAAAAATCAATTGAGATTTGGATAACAAAACAAATTATATTCATTAGGTTTCGATTCATCCAAATCCGATAAGTGAGCTTTTTTATTTGAGAACAATTGTAATTTTTTTTTTTTGTAAATTCAAGATCGAGCAAAGACAGATTTATGGTATTCTATCTTACTTTGATTGTGTATATTAAATTATGTTTTTAATTATTGATTTAATTATATACATATTTATGTATTATATTAATAAAAATATTATTTAATATCGTAATTTAATAAATATATTATATTTATATATAATTAAAATGAAATTTATGCATTGACTCATTTTGACCTTTATTTAACTCTCATTAGGGTCTTGACATACTACTTTATATAATTTTTCTTTTTTTTTTAATTTTTGTCTTTTTTATAATTTAGATCAATTTTGTGAAAAACTACATAGGCATCCACGTGGCATCCCAATTTTTTTTCCTTTCACTTTTTCCTTTTTAGTTTAATAAATTTTAAAACAAAAGAAATTATTAGATAAAAATAATAAAATAATTCATTTTGTATAGGTTATCACTTAGTTAGGATGTTCACGTAATAACTTAATGAGGTTTTTTTATTATTTTTTTTATTATTTTTATCTTTTTTATTAAAGTAATTTTGTGAAAAAAAACTCAAATGGAGGCACCGACTTAGCACCCCATTTGGTTTTTCCCTTTCATATTTTTTTGTATTTTTTAATTACATAAATTTTACAATAAATGTATCAATTGATAGAGATACAAAAATAATTAATATCCGACGAATTTTAATTCATATCAATCCAACAAAGTGCGATTTTTTAAATTGAGATTAATTTGAGAGAAGTCAAGTTCTTTAAAGAAAAATAAGCTTGGATCAAGCTTTTCAAAAAATAAGTTCGAGTTGAAAGCTTATTTAAAGTGCTTTGTTCTTATTTATTTTGAGGTATATATAAAAATATATTTTTTATTTACTTTATTTTATACATATATATAAGTATTGTATTAATAAAGTTGTTTTTATCTTAATTGAAAAAATTACTATTTTAAACTTAATATGGGGGTGTCGATGTGGAATTTTTTTCATTTTCCTCTTTTTTTACTTTTTTTATTTTATGTATTTAATTTTTTACTAGATAAATTTTAAAAAATATATCAATTAAGGTTAGATAGATTTCATAAAAAATATCAGCTAAGGTATCGACGTGTTATTTCTATTTTTTTTATCTTTTATTTTTTATTTTTAATTAGATAAATTTTATAAAAAAAAAATGATGAATAGAGATGACAATATAAAAAAATTTTTATCCACAACAACGCACGGTCATTTTTCTAGTGTAATTAAAGTGAGATATTGTCATCTTTTCTTTTTGCTTGAAATATCTTGATATATTCAAAAGATCATACGAGATGATAATGAATTTTTTTCTTAATAATTAACATTTGATTACAATTTTTTTTTTTTGTATTTCATTGATAATCAAACTTATAAGATGTTAATTCTTAAAAATAATTATCTTTTATTTTCAAATTACAATATTTTTGTCAAAAAAAAGCATTATATTTGTCATTAGTGATCGAAAAGTTATTTTTAAAGTATTAATGTTATGAATGATTTATACTTTATAGTAAAATATTTAATATAATACATAAAATTTAAAAAATTTTAATGTAATTCTGAACTATGATTAGTTTTTGCCAAAAAAAAAGCCGTATAATTTTATTAATTAATAAAATATTTAAAAAATTATTTATCCGTTACATTTCATCATTTAAAGTTAATTAAGTAAAAAGTAAATATTATATTAAGTAATAGATTCATAATTCATATATTATATTATAAATTTTTAAAATTCAAATATCATATTAAATATTTTATTATAATTAAAAAATATTCATAATATTAACTTTTTAAAAAAAGTTAAATAATTAAAATAAAAATTTCTAAACACGTGAGTGATAAATTGAACAATTTACTTAAAAAAAATAAAAGAAAATAATAACGGTACCAGATATTAAAGTGCATTCGGATTGAAATTTTTGTCCGTTACGTTTATTTTGGTTTTATTTGACCTTAAGCAAGTCCAGCAACGAGCGAAGTGCGCTAAGGGCAACGTGAGTGATAAATTGAAGAATTTACTAAAAAAAAAAAAAGGAAAATAATGAGGGTACCGGATATTAAAAGTGCATTTGTATTGAAAAATTTGTCCATTACGTTTATATTGATTTTACTTGAGTTTAAACAAGTCAAGCAACGAGCGAAGTGTACTAAAGGCGACGGGCTTACTTTGCCACCTACTAGGCAAAGTCACCCAGTTTGGGAAGCAATGTCATCGATATCATTTTTCTTTATTGAAAATTGGAACTTCTATTCTATTATCCCATCAACAAGCAAAAACAATTCCAAAAATGCTCGGGCCAGTCTTTCTTTTGATTTTTAAGAAATCCAACCATAAATCCACATTACAATGTGATGGGAAAAAAATGTTTACCATGCTATCAAAGAGACTCAAATATTCATGAAATAATTAAAAAAAAAATCCTTATATGTACACATGTATGGTCAGGCAAAACAAAATTTTTCATCCATAAGTTTTTTTTTTTTAAATTGATACATGTAATGCGAGTTAGACTACACAATGTGAAGTAAATTGTCTCTCACTTACCCATCAAGTTCATAGGTTGGATTTGATTGAGACAGAACCTTGGACAACCTAAGTTTGGCTGGACTTGAATTATTATTTTATCAAAAATTATAATTTTTATTTAAATTTAATTTTAAAAATATTTTTATTTTTTGAATAATATTTCAAATAATACCAAAGTCATTATAGATCAAATGAGTGGGTTGAATTTTGTGCAAGATTATAAAAATGATAACTGGATTTGGCCCGATTCCATTCATTTACATTTATCTTAAAATTCCTATTTAAAATCTCCAAAATAAAACTGCAACAAGATGAAACTAAAAGCATTGACTAAAGAAAAAGAAAATAACGATGGTACCAATTATTAAAAGTGCATTTAGATTGAAATTTTTGTTCATTACGTTTATTTTGGTTTTGTTTGACCTAAAGCAAGTCAAGCAACGAGCGAAGTGCTCTAAGGGCAACAGCCTAGCTTTCCCACCGACCAGGAAAAATCACCCAGTCTGGAGAGCATCTACTTGTCTAGACTTTTCTAATGCGAATGTCGTGCATATCATTTTCCTTTATTGAAAATTGGAACTTCTAATTTCGTATCTCATCAATGAGCAAATACTATTCCCAAACGCGTGGGCCAGTCTTTCTTTTCTTTTCTAAGAAATCCAACCATAAATCCACGATACCATGTGATGGAAACAATTTTTACCACGCTATCAAAGAGATTCAAGTATTCATGGAATAATAAAAAGATCCTTTTTGTTGATTGTAAGAAATATGAAAGTCTTGGCATTGGTACTCGATACTCTGGAGATATCAAAGTCTTTGAATTACGTGAATTAAAATTTGATAGTAGATTCCAGGCAAATTACCCGCGATAGGCGGTAGGCACGCGTCTTTATGCAACAACTTATTCGACCCAGAGAACGTAATACGTGGACTGCTCTTTTCAATTGGAGTTTGGGCCTGTGAATGAGGCCCATCCGTCTTGGTTTTAGTAGCTCATGGGATTGCTTATTATTCAGTGGCATCTTCAGAAATTCACCGCTTAATTTATTTCTTGACAAGTCAATTACCTTCACTAATCCATGGGTATTTCCATATTATAAACGTAATATAAAATCTAGCCTGATGGTTGCATTTGAACTTCCATTTTCACTCATGGCAGTTTAACTGTTAAAAAGGGAAGTTGGAATGGTTCTTGACATATTCTTTTAAGGAAAAGTTCATTATAATTTTGGTATTTAAATTTTTAAAAAAATATATAAATTATTATTTATAAATAAAATATATAATTTGTATCTTAAACTTTCAAATTATATATATCATATTAATATAAATTCTAATCACATCAATCACATCGATTTATATATGCAACAAATATTATCAAGTTATATGTTCATCACATATGATATCAACATTTGTTAAATATAGATTAAAAATATATATTTCTTACTTGAAATGTAATAATTATCTAAAATTGGTCAATTATTTTTTATCATGCAACATTCACATGAATATTTTTACAAAATATCTAACATTCTTATTTAACAAATAAGTTTCATAAAATAAAATTTATTGATTAGATATCATATAAGTGAGTTAAATTAACAATATTAAAGTTTAGATTAAAATGATATATTATTTGAAAATTATAAATGTCAAATATATAAACTTTATTTTTTAAAATATTAATTTATACATTTAAAAAAAAATTCAGATAACAAAAGTGTAATTAACTCTAAAAAAAATTTAATATTTGAAAAGATCCTAAGTTACATATAGTGGAAGGTATATTTTCAAAAAACCCATTTGATCATAGACAGAGAATAATAAAATCTGTTCCAAATTCTCCCATCCAAGAGGAAATGAAGCCATATATATAATTTATTTTCATCAAGATTCGGAAGTTTCAATTTGGTGCAATAGCTTAAGGGAGCATGAACTGTAATAGTTATCAAATGAACATATTGAAGAGCTGGCATGTTCCTAAAAGAATCTACAATTGAACCATTTAAATTGTTTCCAAAGAGCTGTAGTTTAACCAAGTTATTACTTAAATTTAGCAACAAAGGAGAAGCTGTAGGATGCAAAGAAAAGAATTAAATTAAAGTACTGCTATTTTACTAGTATTTTATAACATGCAAAAGCAATTCGTAATATTTGATACTATTTTCATGATCATCATGTAATTTATTTTTCAAATCTTATTATTAGTGATTTAATAACATCATATTTGGTTATGCTTATAATAATTTCGTGTAGTCTAATAAACGATATATGGTAATATATGAAAATCAATCAACGGTGTCTATGTTGTTATCACTAATTACACCAACCATGGTGGTGAAGAAAAAAAAATTATGAAGAATCATAAACCAATTAATTATAATATATATGCTTATGCTTATAATAATTTCTTCTGCGAATGCAGACTCCTAAGTTTTACTTTATGCTTCGTTCACCTATTGAGAAAAGACTTGTCTATAACATAATTGAATCAGCACCCAATGACCATTGTGATCTTCTTAAATTTTATATCATCTAATGCAGGCAACTGGTAGTGGATTTAGGGGCTGATAGTTTTATATTAAAGTGCAGCGTGTGGGTTTTGAAAGTCAAGCCTACCTTGGACAAGAATTCTAGCCAAATGCCACTATAAGTACTTTAACACAGCAATGGTTTTTAAAACATGGGAAACAATTCACCTTTTTTTTTTTAAAATTTGAGAAAAAGGAAAAAAACATTTGAACCCACTCTTTAAGCTGGATCATGCATCAACAACTAAACCATGATGGTGCCTTTGTCTCATTTTGCTCATCTTCAGTGCTATCGTCAAGCGGATACGATCTTCTATGTTGCTCAAGAACTGAAAGTATTTGCGTCTCCAAGATTGGTTTATCAGTAGTGTACCCAAGACTCCCCAAAATCCTATAGCGAATCCAATCACCATGCCAAGGTAAAACCACAAGGGTTCAAACCATTCTTCATCTCCTTCAATGCCGATTCCACTGCCATCAGCATTTGGTGGCTTGGCCGTTTCATCTCCTGGGCACTTATTTGTCAATGGTGCTCCACAAAGTCCTGGATTCCCCAAATAAGAACTAGCACTAAAGCTCTGCAGCTGAGTGCTTGATGGAATTTTTCCTGACAAATTGTTATTTGTCAAGTTCAACACACTGAGATAAAACAAATCAGCAAGGCTGCTAGGGATTTCACCAAAGAGGCTATTTGTAGACAAATCAAGCGATTCCAACACTTTCAATTGGCCAATCTCCATTGGAATGCTCCCTGTTAACATGTTTCTTGATAGATTTAGAGTAATCAATCCTAGAAGACTTGTAACTTCTTTGGGTATTTCCTCGTTTAATTTGTTGCTTGACAGGTCAATGAGCTTTAGTAATCCTAATGTCTTGCCATACTCATGTTCCACTCCTTTCCATACCACGGATGCATAATCAATGTAATCAGCACCATATTTCAGAACGGTAACACCATTTCCATCAACAAAGGTGTCAGAATAATAATAAAAATACCAAATGCCTGCATCTGTACTCCTATTTCGTGCCATGGCAGTTAAGTTGTTTAGGCAAGGTGGAATAGATCCCGATATATTGTTCAGAGAAAGATCAAGAATTTGAAGAGATTCCAGATGACAGAGACTTGGAGGTATTTTGCCATAGAACTTGTTTGACCTTAGACGGAGAACAACCAAATTAGTTAGATTTTCCCCTATCCATGGCGAAATGATTCCATATAATTGATTCTCCCCAAGATCCAAGAGTTCCAACTCCATACAATTGCTCAGTGACGATGGTACCTTACCAGAAAAGCTGTTGTTCCTCAAACGCAATGATCGAACCTGCTGTAGTAATCCCATTGAGCTTGGGATCGCTCCCGACAAATTATTGTTCTCCAAATTGAGAACAACCAATTGTCTCAAATTCATCCAACAATCAGGAAGGCTGCCTGACAATAAATTGTTAGAGAGGTCAAGATAGCTCAAGGCACTTTCCTTGACCGTGCATAAAAAAGACGTAGATCCTGAAAACTTGTTTCCAGAGAGATTCAACACTGTTGTATTAGCAAGAAATTCTGGTATATGACCATGAAACATGTTGGAACTCATATCTACTCCAGGAAATGAATTAAATTTAAATGATAGATTTGGTACCTTCCCACTGATATTATTGAAGGAAATATTGAAGTACTTCAAATTAGAAGGGAAATACCAAAACCAGCTGGGAATAACGTCTGAAATCTCAGAATTGGAGATATCGAGGTGGGAAAAATTAGTTTGCCCTCGAAGCCAGCTAGGAAATCGTGGACCTAACTTGCAAGACCTCAATCTAATAGAATCTAGTTGAAAAGGAGAAACCCAATCAGAGCTGAAATTCAAATCCAAAGAGTTGAAAGATAAGTCAAGAAGCTGCAACTTGGAGAGGTTTAACAGGTGAACTTCAGAGATTTCACCATTCAAATTGTTTGAGGAAACATCTAGCACCCTGAGACTTGACATCTGGCCAATTCCTACAGGAAATGAGCCCGTGAGTTTGTTTCTTGCCAACGACAAATAAACAAGCTGAGATGAGTGCCCAAAACTGTCTGGGGAAAATCCGTCCAGTTGGTTATTATCAAGATGCAAGTCTCTCAAGGATGGAAATTCTGTCATATCAGGTAAGAAACCACTCAATTGATTATCGTTCAACCTCAGGACCTCCAAAGAATTCTTAGTGCATCCATTCAGACTTTGTAGAAGTTGATGAATTGGTTCACTTAGACCATTTTCAGAGAAATCTAATGTTTTTAAGTTGCAAAGATTCCCCAAGGATTTCGGAATGGCACCTTCAAGTTGATTCCTTGAGAAATCAACGTGTTCAAGAGAACCCATGTTGCCAAAAGAATCTGGAATTGTACCCTTGAGCTGGTTATCAAACAAGCTAAGATCAATAGTGTTACCACTTATATTGATCAGCAGGGGAAAAGTTGAATGGTCAAAGGTACTGCCAACGATGTGGATTACTTTAAGAGCATTGGAAGAGTTGACTTGGGAAAGAGATGAAGGATCAACCGGAGGAAATTGGCAGGCTGATAAGTATAAGCTTGCTAGGGAAGGATTCAATTTAATTGATTGAAGCCAATTCAGGGCTTTCGTAAAATCAACTTGACCCATTCTAAGTATTCTCAAGGAAGAAAGACGAGATAGCCATTCAAAGTTTTCAACAATCAAGCTATCCATGTTAAAGGTGAGATTCAAAGAAATCAACCTGGAAAGATTCCCCAGCTGGTAAGGAATAATTCCACTGAAATTATTCCATGAGAGATCAAGAGAACGTAACATGGAGATATTCCCCAGCTGAGGAGGAATAGTTCCACTGAAACCATTCCATGAGAGGTTAAGATATTTCAGCTCAGTGAGTGAACCAATAAACTCAGGAATATTAGAGAACATATTAAGACTGAGGTCCAAGCCAGTCAAGCACCGTAGTTCAAGCAAGGAAGGGCCTATCTCACCGCTCATAGGTGTCCAAATGTCACCAGTATCACTCGAGGAATTAATCACAGGACGGAGATCAAGCAGAGTGACATGACCAGTTTTGTTGTTGCAACCTACCCCTTTCCACCTACAGCAATCTTTATCTCCGCTAATCCACGAGGAGAGAAGGTTATCATAATCAACAAGACCTTTCTTTAAGTTGAGAAGAGCTTGTCTCTCTTTCTCTATGCACCCAAAATTTTCTTTTCCAAATTCCTTACAGAATCCACCAGTAATAAACCATGCATATAGTAATAGTTCGACCAACAATGCTTTGAGAAATTGACGGGCTGATCTGCTACCACCTCCCTGGAAGGTATTCATCTTCCTGGTCACAGTGGATCTACTGTAGCAAACAAAGCTTAAGAAGATAGTAATGGAGTCCATCAGTCCAAGCAACTATAAATTAATAATCAAAGAACAACCTTCACCGGTTGATTATCTAAGTTAAACAAAAGCTGTTTAAGTTCGTGACTGATTCAGCAGTCAAAGGTTGCAGTTACGTCTTCTGAGTGATCTTTTTATATTTAAAATAATGACATTGGTTGAATTTTTTAATGTTCATGTGATTGTCCTTATGTTAAGGAAAATGCTGAGAGAGAAATTGTAATCAAAAGTTGTTGCATTTGGTAAAAGCCAAAAGGAAAATCTGATTTTGTATTGTGTATACACATACTAGAAACTAAAAAGTATGAGCTTTTCCAGAAAAACTCTCCCTCTTCTTGTGATTTTCTGTTTTAGTGGTTGTTTTTTTCACTGGTAGCCACAGCAATTGCTTGTAATGTTAGTACTTATTGACCGGGGAGAGGATGGAAGCCAGTAAACTGAGTCCCGCAAGATGTTATATAGATTGGCCCCATTTGACATGCAAGATGTGACATTTTTGTTTAAAAATTACAAAGAACAAACCTGGAAAGTCATGTGGTTGGTTAAAATCTTGAAATATTATCATTTGGTATTACCAAGTTATTATTTATTTTCTTCTCTGTTTGATTCAAATTGTTCGGTTAAGTAGGTTGACTTTTTGTTTATCATGTTCCCAAGAGGATCAAATCTCAACCTGAAAATTCTTAATTAAAAGCTTCTCTGTCTGAACAGATTCTAATCATATTCAAGCTCCATAGAATGAGGATGTTCTCTCATTATACCAATCAGATGTCGTATATTGAGGACTTAAAATGATAAAATTATGAGGAATAAAAAACAAAAAAAGCGTCGACAGCAGGGTTCGAACCTGCGCGGGCGATGCCCAACAGATTTCAAGTCTGTCTCCTTAACCACTCGGACATATCGACGTTTTCTGCCGGAGTTCAATTTTATTTTTGTTCAACTTTTTTCAGTTTGTTCTAAATCTTATGTGTATAAGTGAGAAGGTGAAGTTGTGATCTTGTTACATCAGATATCTGTTTTTATTCTTTTATGAAAAATAAGAGAAAAGAAAAGAAGTAGAGAAGAATTTAAAACTTACAAATTTCATAAATGAGTCTTGTTCCCAGGAATTTATGCATTTAATCGTCACTCACAGGTGTTCACAAGGTCAACTTTTTTGCTTTTAATGAAGCATACAATTCACAGGGAGGATACCTGTCTCAACATTTGTCAACTAGTAGTTGAAGTTTTTGTATAATTTCTTGCTTCTTAATGGTGTATTGTAATTCAGAATCTGAAGAAGTATATTATTTAAGCATGTTATTAAAAACCAAGGGTCAAGGTCTGCTCAGATTCTTAAATTCTATTCATTTATTTATACATGCATAGTTTTTAAACTTCTATTTTAACATTTAGCTCTAAACAAAAGGTTCATATTTGGTTTCATCGCAGGCAAAGCCCTACTTGCAGGCAGGTGCATTTGAGATAGTGGATGATAGCTTAAAGGGAACCTTTGACGTGGAGGGCATGAGAAAGGCAGCCTTAGTTGCTGTAAGGTCTGTCGACATTGATGCATCCTGAGACCAACCACTGCAGAGGTATTAGCAGAGCTGAAAGAAGCCTACAGTATTTAGCTCTCATATCTTGCATCTTCAGGACACTCGTGTTAAGCTAGCAAATACAAGATTAAAAGAATGTTTGTATTTATATTAGAACTTTGAAAACTTTTCCAACAGATTTTTGGCAAGGTGAGGTATAATTATTTCGAAAAGGGGCTTGTTATGTGGGAAATGAAGAGTAAGTTATTGAGCACAAGGTTTTTTCAAAGTGTACTTATAAGATTATATCTGTAACTGTTCTGTCTATGGCAAGCACTAATAATTTCTTTTACATGAGCAATTTGCCAAACCATCCTACAATGTCTATGTGCATCTGATAGCTTCTATCTATTTATAGAACTATTAAGAAGCAACTGACAGAACTAGGTTGAGTAGCGGCGCCACATGTAAAGGAATAATGCAGTTGAAGTAGCCACAACATATGGAAACACAGTCCAAATTCCCTGTATGATTTTATACATTTCATATCTCTACTTACAAAATCAAAACTTTCATGAAGCACAAGAACCTCTTTAGTCTTTACCACTACCGTGGCGACAGTTGCAAGGGCAGACACAGGACGTTTCCTCATCAAAAACCCAATTCCTAGCTGGACTCCAGAAAAAGAAGTGAATATAGTGTTAGTTCCTAGGAATAGCAAGTTCAAATATATGGTGTAGCCTATTCTTATCATAGTAGGTGTATACAGATATAACACTGGAATAAGTTGTCCTGAATAGATATTTGATCATTTGTATTAAAATCCCTCAATAAATTTATCTCAAAATACTTATTCAATATTCTACTCCAATTTACAGTACCTATAAATTTCCCAAATAGAGGCAGGCTTGTATATTTCATCTAATTATTCTGAGTTTGAAGTTGTTAAAATCTTTTCCAACTAAAAATCCTCGAGATATAAATTGGAATTCGGTCAATTAGATGAAGAATCAAGTACCAGAAAACATATGAACAAAAGGCATTCATGGTTAAGAATAAGAACGAGGTGGAATGCGAGGGGAATGGATTCAATCTGATCAGTTACATGCTAGTATATTTGGCATGAGAGGAAGGAGGTACAAAAAGATATTACCAGAAAGCATTGAAGATAATTTATGCTATAGATTTGTCCACTATATACTAGATCCACAGCATTTTTTTTTCAAGAGAACTCTATCAAAGATTTCTCCTAGAGAAGTTTAATCGATTATTGTTTAATTTAACTGTGATTTGAAAAATAAATAAAAAAATAAAAAACACATTCAATGACTATGATACATTGGTTCATGCAAGAATATGAGAATGCGCAAAATAGCAATTATTGCCAGCTGAAAATGACTAACCTGAATTGGAAGACTGATAAGCCACCACAACAAACTCCAGCAAAGAAGAATTCAGGAGATATTCCCTTCATTATTATAAAAGCGTATCATCACCTCAATTATCAACATGATTGACAGCCAGGCAATAAGTACGGTACATATTATATTGGAAATGAAAGGCCATTTTAAGCAAGCACTGATACGAAACAGATGCATGTCAAGTGATTTTGGAGATGAAAAAGTATATTGCATATATAAATCTGCGATGTCTAGGTAAAGAGGTCAGTGATGTCCAATTTAACAGTATAATAATAGTTCATAATTCAGAAAAGCTCTAGCCCAAGAAAAATGGCACTGGTACTCAAACTGCCCGGTATGACTATGCCATAACAAAATCTTAAAAACGAATACTAAACATTTAAAACTGAATAAAACTGAAAAAAGCAAACAAATGAACCTGAAAGTTGAATGTCTAAAGAACTGAAAAGATGTAACTGCCTGGCTCTGGCATTTTCAGAGAAAACTATGAAAGAAGGAACAAAGAAGCAGCCAGGCTGCTTTGGAGGTCGTCGATGGGATGAGCTGGGAACTGGTTTTGAAAGGCGTAAGGAGTAGCCATTGGAGAAAACGGCCATGACGGACATTCTTGGTAGCTTTGAACTGCTGCTAGGCGAGGAAAGGAAGTCTAATAAAAATTTTATGAGGCTAAGGGTCAGATTCGAGGGGTGCATGTGGCTTAGTTTGAATGGTGGTGTACCGGAATAATGTGCTATTCTTTTTTTTTTTTTAAACATAACTGGTGTGACAGGTGAGATTCTATTATTTCTCTGCCTGGAAAAATGAACTTGTTTTTCACCCATTTTTAAAATTTATTTGCTTTCGAATGGAATACTCATGACATTATTGTAACAAACTTGATTATTTATTTAACCAAAAATAAGAATTGATTATTCAATAGTTAATCAGAATAATAGACACATGCATAGCAAAAGAAGATTGAACAACGTTGACATTGTTTAAAGGACACCGTTGGTTTTGTAACGGAAATAAAAAGGACAAAAGCGGTTGGCACTTGACAGCTGTAATCTTTGTTCAGAGATCAGACAAACATCGTCAAACAGAAGTTGAAAGTCTGAAAGACGGTGAATTTCAAGTTTTTTCCACTTCCCCATAATAGTCAGCCACTTTTCCATTACCGTAACTATAAAAAGTCAAAACCTTGGAAATCGGCGGCTCTTTCACTCTTGTCCGACGCCAGCAAATTTCTCCAAGCTTTTTGTCTCCCGTCTTTCTTAACGTTAGGATTCTGGAACCTGACTTCTCTTGTTTCCTTGGCGCCTAGGTTCCCATGTCACCTCCACAACTGATCAACTCAGTCCCCTCTAAAAATCCAGTATTTTTACTCACTTATCCTGGAAATTACTCTACTTCTTTTGATCCTAAGAATTCTCTCAATTTTTTCCTTATAAGGTCTTGAGTTTTGGACATCATTATTTTCTTTCCTTTCCTTCATTTTCTATTCATGAAGTGGAACTAGAATTGAATTCCGTTTTGTAATTGTATTTCTCACGGTGGGTTGTTTCTCCAGGGCTAATTCTTGGTGCCAAATTACTACAGGGCTTACTCTCCTTTTTTTATCTTGGGTTATTACTCGAATTTCATTTACTAGTAGATTTGCATTTCTCTGGGAATCTTGAGCTCTTGAAATTGTAATGGTTTCCCGTACAATTCCTACATGGACCTTAGTTGGTCTTATTGGAGCCTTTCTTGACCTTGCTCTTGCTTGTTTCCTTCTATGTGGATCAACCTTGGGGTTTTTTGCTTGGAAATTTTATCATATTTTGGGACTTTACTTGCCGTGTCCTTGTTCTGGGTTTTTTGGGTACCAAAATAGCTACCTCTGCTGGCATGAGCTGCTCATTCACTGGCCTATCAGAAAGATCTATTCTGTTCGAAAGCTGGCTTTGAAGAGGTTCCCTTTTAACTTAGTTTGGTTCAACGATCAACAATGGAATTCGAATGCCACGTCCATTACAGGTGGAAAATTTGGCAATGAGGTCATTGGTTTGCAGGGTGAAGCATGTCCTAGTTCACCTTCAGGTTTAAGATTGCAAACTATGGTGGATAAAGAGAGTGGATATGATGCCAAGGGAAAGAAAATTATAAATCAGAAGCAAAAGTCTGGAGTTCGGCGACGTAGGAAAGCTACTTCTGGTTATGGAAAATCCTCTCCAGTATTATTGTCTGGTAATTTCCCATCCGCAGCTGCAGATTTTTCATGTTCATCTTATATTAATGGCGGTGAAAGAAGAAGTCAAAGTAGTGAAAATTTGGGTCCAGTTAGCGAAATAGAAGATAGTTTTCCTGGTAAGTGAAACGCATCTAATGTGAGATCTTTCTTTTTGTATTATTTTTTTCCAAATTGATGTTTTAGCTGCAAGTGCCAAATTTTTATTTGAATTTCTGCTCAATTATAGGAGTGCATCATTGAAGATATTATGGAATTTCTCTGCTAAAATTTTAAATGCTTATTCTAAAATAGATGAAAGTTTTATGATTTTTAACCAATTTAGACAGGTTTTATTTCTCAGTAAGTCAAGGAAATCATTTATTGAGTTCAAGTTTTCATTGAATTTGAACTCTTATATCTTATTAGCATTACATGTGTATTGACCTATGTGAACATGCCATTTTAGATGATAAAAATACTCAAACCGGCACAGATATGGGTGAGGCAACCTGGCATGGTTTTGAATTGAGCAATGGAGAGGAAAAAGGTTCAGCTTTTATAAAAAAAGTCACTTGTAACACAAGAGAAAACTTAGGGATTACTGGAGATGAAGCAAATCGAATCAGAATGTTGGAACAGGCTCTTGAGGAAGAAAAAGCTACACATGCTGCTCTATACCTGGAGTTGGAAAAAGAAAGGGCTGCTGCTGCTTCGGCTGCTGATGAAACCTTGACAATGATTTTGCGTCTACAAGAGGATAAGGCATTAATAGAAATGGAAGCAAGGCAATATCAAAGGATGATAGAAGAAAAAATTGCTTATGATGAAGAAGAGATGAACATTCTAAAAGAGATCCTTGTTAGGAGGGAGAAGGAGAATCACCTTTTGGAGAAAGAAGTTGAAGCTTACAGGCAGATGAATACTCTAGGAGATGAGCGGAAGGAATGTGACTTTAGTTATACTTTGTGTAAAAGGGGACAAAAGCCTTCAGTTTCACTTGTTTTAAGTGAAGATCCACTGCTAATGGTGAAACAGATCGAGAATAGTGGATCCACTAGAAAGAAGGCAGTGGGAAAAGGTTCTGGCTGGCCTTTAAAATATGAGACTCCATCCGCTGGGAAACTAAGTCATACTCCAGCGGTTAATTTATCAGGGAAAGGAGAGGGACAGGATGATGATGCCATAGCATGCCTAGCATTAGCAACCAAAACAGCCCTAAATTTCGGTGACGTTGAGAAAACTCCTTTAAATAGAGAAGATATTGAGAGAAATGCAGAATTTGGTGAGCCACTACGCAGCAATCTGCATCATTCCAAGTTTGATATGGAACCAGCTATTTATGATGTCCATGTTGTTGATGATAAAATAGACATTATGAAGGAGGAGAATGGAAAAGAAAGTAAACTGCCAACTATTTCTGCTTCAGATAACAAAACCTTGCAATATGACTCATGGAGGAGTTATTCTGCAGTCTTAAATGAAAGGTTGGAGATTGATGCTGAAATTGAACGCCTTAGAGAAAGGCTGCAAATAGTGCAAGGAGAAAAAGAGAAGCTGAGTTTCTCTGCGGATACGAGGGAAAGGTTAGATACCCACTTGAAACTCATTGAGGACCTGGTGAGCCAGCTTCGAGAATTTCAGCAGCTGAAGGAGCCTGTTCGACAGACTTCTTTGCCTCCTTTTTCTTCATCTTCTAAGGTGTGTCACATTTCAATTTGACATTTTATAATTCTATCAACCAAGGGCAAGTATTGTTTGCATGCTTGTTTAGCTGTCTGCTGGTCATGATAGCTTTATGCTGTTATTCTTGCGGCAAATTTCCATTTTTGAGTTCCCGAAAGGGAGGAATCAGGGGTCTGGTTGTCTCCTATAAAAACAACAAAGACATGATTATTTGTGTTGATGCAGAATCTTATTAAATTGAGAGTGCTATGTCCGCATGGAAAGTGGACAACTCAAGCTCAGTGAATGTCCACTGAGTTCACACAGTATACGTGTAAAACAAAACTGACCTTAGTTTCAGATGTAACCCTGCTTGTTAAGCATAGAAACAGTAAGAAATGATAGCTACAATTTTTCTGTTACATCAATTGCAGAATACTGCTGTGTGTATTATTATTTCCTTAGTAAGCAATCTCCTAAAGCATTTCAGAATTGTTTCTTATGCTTTCATGAGTTGAAGTGAAATAGATACTCTTTGAAAATCAATCTAATATTATTCCATAGAGTGACTTCTTCCTTCATGTCTAATTCTGTTGGTTAATCTCATGATAATGAGTAGATTTTGAAGAAAGTCATTTTCCATTTTCCACTACTATTTTCTCACAGAACTTACTGACAGTTCAGGTGCTTGTACATCATTCCTTACTTAAAACTTACTTCAGTCGCTGCTTTTAAGGTAGTATGGATGTGTCTTTTGAGGCCTGATGCTAATATCATTAAGTGTAGGGTCCTTCTCCCTAGGGAACTTCTTTTATGAGGATTTTAACATTCTATATTTTCTGCTTGTTAAAGACAATACTGGTTTTTCTTGCCAAAAGAGCTCTAAGTCAACCAAATCATGTGTCGTTAGGATAATGTTGTGGCACCTTTTTTCTTTCAAAAATCGACAGTATCAAAGCTGTTACATTGGTAAATAGAAGGGGACCATATGATCACCATGTGAAGTTAATGCAGCTGGGAGTAGCATAATAATATTTTTAATATCTTATATTAGCAGATTATTAGAATTTTGGATTTCATATAATTTTGCTGAATTTTAGATTTTTCTTATCCATTGATTTTGTGACCATGATCAAAAAGATAGAATCAACTCGCACAAAATGTATTCACTCTTGACATCTCTTGTCCATTATCAAGTTTCTCTCATATTTACTAACGCTAATCCCTCTATTTTCAGGTCAGTTCCAGTAGGAGACGCTGCCGAAGTGCATCAGATGAAATCGATAATAGTTCCTAAGCCATGTGCAGTAATCAAATTTTAGAAAATTATTTCCTTGTGCTACAGGATTGTCTCCAGTCCCTTTTTATATAGTTTGTTAGAAATTTGTTGATAAAATCTGCAAAGTTCACACAAGTTAGTTGATGTAGTCGATGTCTGTTGCCTGTTGAAAAATTGTATGTAAACCTTTTAATGTTTTATTTTCAATCAAATTGGAGTAGCTTCAAAGTTGTCTTGGGCGTCGAATCCAATGTCAGTCCCCAACAAATAAGTGATTAAAGTAGGCTTTGATTAATTATTTGTTGTCATCATTATTCCCTTCGAGTGCAAAGGGTTAGGCCGAGAGGCCGCCTGTGGATGTAGATATTGTTTGGAAAGAAAATTTACAAACAGAAATGAGAAGAAAAGTTGACGTTCTGTGGTCACCATCTTCTTGATGTTATCTTTTATTATGATTAGAATGTAATTGGAAGCTGGAACAAGGCTCCTGATATCCCCCGTTGACTTTAGTTTTGTGCCGATGCCCTTGCCGATATACTCTAGATATCAACCAAAGTTTTCAGTTTTTTGCTCCATGAAAAGAAAATTTGAGCCTATTTTCCGGGAATGTCAGGATAAAAAGTGAATTATTTTGCCATAGATGAATACTTCACTTCAATGATTCTAAGATAGTAACCATTGCGGTGTTTTGTGCCACTAATTGCGAACCTAACCACTTTGGTGAAGAAGAAAAAATTTAAAGGGCTTGAGACTTTTGAGTATGACTTAACGAACATGCATTGTTTCTTTGTTCTGTAGATGATAATACCATTATAGTTCAATGAAGCAATGAGAAAGCTGCAAACTGCAAACCACCTTAATTATAATTTATAACCGATAACTACACATTTAATTAGCAAATTAAATGCCAATAACAATTATGACTTAATTATAATTTGTACCGATAACTACCAATTTAAATAGCGAATTAAATGCCAATAACAATTATGACTTGCTTTCTTCTATGGAAATTTTTTATTTTTTATTTGATAAGGATTGAATATTTTGTTCGTAAAATTTATATTACCAGTAAATTTATTATAATTTTTTTGTTAAAACTTGTAATATACCTTAATTTTGAAATGAAATAGTTTTTTTCACATATGTTATGATAAGATATGAGTGAATATAAATAAAAATACATATTTTTTTGCCAATTCCTTAAATGAAAGTACATATTAGAAGCTCATTTTTTTTTTCATTTTTCTTAAGAAACTAAACTTTAATTCTTGTGATGGTGATTGAGAAATACCTTAACTTTAACTCTAAAATACGATGTCCAATTTAGAATTAATACATAAGTAAATCGTTTTTAAAAATCTATTTGGATGATATTTCTGTTTCTTTTTGTTATTTGTCAATATGATTTTTTTTCAAATTATATTGATTGACGTAATTTCTCCTTTATCATAGGCAACAATGCGACAAAAACGTTGAACCAGTTTCCAATTGTTTCAATTTCATCCCAAATAAAAGTCTAATTGATTTGCATAAAATGCTTTATTAAAGCGGGTTCAACGCAAGGGGTGATGGGTCTTATTGTAAGCGCACGTGGTAGGCCTCTTTCTGCCGATTCTAAAGTCCCACTTGCCAACAATCCCAGGTGGCAAAACCCTAATGGCATCTGACATGGTACATACCAAACATTTTTGTATTGGTTTTTCCACTCATAAATATAAATAAACAAAGCAAAAGAAAACAGTTTGTTATTGGCTTGTTGCTTTAAGGCAACCGTGGACTCCACCGCACCTAATAATCTGTGATCCCCATCTCTATTATAACGGTGGTTAACGTCGAAACTCCCGCTCCTTCGTAAAAGGGCCAAAGCAACGAACATAAAGCGTTGAGTTCTCGACAGAACCACCGCCACTTGAGCAGCTGAAGCGGCGGTTTCACGCGATCGCTCTACGAAAACGAAATTTTGATTAAAAAAAAAAAAACCTTTTTGACAACGACAGGCTTCAGCTACGTTCCTCAGCTTAAATTAAAAAAACTTTTATTATTTTATTATATTCTAGAAACGATAGAGAGAGAAGAGTTTTTTCTTCCGTTTGGAGATAGAAAAGCCCGCCTCGTAACCCAAAGCAATAGCTCTTCTCATTTCTTGGCTCTGGATTTGATTATTATATATAAAGAAATAACGAGAGAAATTGAAAATTCAATCATCCGTTTTTCGTGAATTTAATCTCGCTCGATTCCTGTGAAATGAATGCGGTTTTCTTTCAAGGTATATTTGGATACGTTTTTTTTTTTTTTATGTTGTTATTTATTGATGCATTAATAATGCCATTGATGGCTTTTTTTTTTCATCTTTTAATTGTGTTTTTATCTTCATTTTTGGATCTGGCGCGATTTAATTTCAGTTCTTTTTCTTCTTTTTCTTTTTTTTTCTGACTGGTAATTATCTTTTTTCTGTGTATGCCGATTCGTGTCCTTTTTTGTCTAGTCCTGCTTGAATTTTTGGTCAATTTCGTCGTTTTTCAACTGCAACGAGCTTTAACAGAGAATAGTACAGATATAGAAGATTTGCCAATGCATAAAAGTAACTGTGTCTCAATAGTTCTGAGATTTTCTGTGTCTGTTTCGTTGCAGATTAAAGTCTGATCACGATCTCGGATGCAAGTTACAATGCCTGGTAAATTATGCCTAATTTTACTGAATTTTGGTCGAAATTAAGATCAAAATGGTTATTCGTTGGTTGAATTTTTGTTTTTGATTTGTTTTTGTTCTTAATAATATCAGGAGAGGTAATTGCATTTCAAGAAGAAGAGAGGTTTAGAAAGGAAGCGCATTTGGATTTCGAGACGTCTGAGGACGAGAAAAGAATAACAACGCGAGGGAGATCTATGAAGAAACAAGCTATGACTGCTTCCACAAAGCTTACACACGGTCTAAGGAAGCGAAGCAAACGCGTGTCTGATTGCAAATACGCGACAATTTCGATCGAGGATGTTAGGGACGCAGAGGAGGAAAAGGCTGTCAGAGCTTTTCGCCAGGCATTGCTTGTGAAAGATCAGCTTCCCCCACGTCATGATGATTACCACACTTTGTTAAGGTAATTTAACCAACCAGTAGACTTTTTATTGCAGTTTTTGGCAGAAAGTTATGCTATCCAGTATCCATTTAACCTTAAGCTATGTTGATAAGATAATGAGATCATTCCATTGAAGCAAACATGTGCAGTTTTAGGTTTCCAGCAATCGCTTGAATGAGAAGGTACTAAATAATGTGACCCATCTCAAGCTTTGAATTGTTTACAAGTGATTTTAGGAAGAATTTATATACATTAATTACCGAAAACAAGATTTCCCATTTGTTCTCAAATTTTCAAAACTCTCTAGTCTATTCATAGAACATTGTAATTATTTTATAATATGTCATCTAGAAGGTGATTTTTGGATTTTTTTTAATTATGGCATGTAGAGGATGTGAATGTTCTCTAGAAAAACAATTCATTGAAATATATCAGAAATGCTTCTTGATTAGAAAGAGCAGATGCATGAACTGGACCGAACTGAATTGATTACAAAGAAATCATGTTCAATTTACTTATTTCATGAACTGAACTTCCCCATTTATTGAGTTTTGGGCTTTTTACTAGTTTTCATCATTGAATCTTTAGTAGCAAGAATTTGACAAGTGTATCTCTCTATATAAAGTGAATTATTTAAAATTCTACTGTCTAACTCAAATGATTTATGGGTGTTTTCTTATTCTAATAAAACTAAGATTTGTAACCTGGAATTTTGTGCATCTTAATAAACGTAATGCAAATTTCTCGGCTGGAACTGTAGTGAAGCATGGGATACTGAGTTTTCTTTTGACTAGAAGTTGTTGAGCTGGACTTAACTTCTGATTTCACTCTAGGCTAGATTTTCAGAACCAGTTGACGTGGAAGTGGAAACTGAGCTCCACTTAAAATTATATTTTTGAAAAAACAAATTACTATTGCCAGCTTATCCAAACAAGTCATCTATATTGCCCACCCTCTCCAAACCCCCTCCTAAAAATGAAAAGGAAAAAAAAACGTCAACTCAGCTATATCCATCTATTTCAAAATCTTGAATTTGTTTTTGCAGATTTTTGAAAGCAAGGAAATTTGACCCCGATAAAACTATCCAGATGTGGGAAGATATGCTGAACTGGAGGAAAGAGTATGGAGTCGATACTATTATACAGGTAAAAAGTTCTCTTATCATCTTTAAACTTGGATTATTAAATTTCTACTGCACTACTTATGATTGGACAATGGAGATTAGCAAGTTTGTTGATCTTTTCATTCACAAAAGATGTGCTGTCTGTCTTTTCTATTGATAATAGTTTAATACTTCATAGTTTTAACAGATGCTATGATGCATATGCAGGATTTCCTGTATGATGAATATGAAGAAGTTCAGCACTGTTACCCCCATGGTTACCATGGCATAGACAAACAGGGTCGCCCTGTCTATATTGAAAGAATTGGTAAAATTGACCCTGCCAAGCTGATGAAGGTCACTACAGTGGAAAGATTTTTAAAATATCATGTGCAAGGCTTCGAGAAGGCTTTCATGGAGAAGTTTCCTGCCTGTTCCATTGCTGCCAAGAGGCATATAGATTGTACGACAACAATATTAGATGTGCAGGGGTTGGTCAGTGTTCATAAATTACAGTACATACGCATTTCATGCCATATCATGTTTCTCATTATTTCCTTCTTTGCACAGAACTGGATGAGCTTTGGCAAGATTGCACATGATCTTGTAATGCGCATTCAGAAAATTGATGGTGACAACTATCCCGAGGTGGCTTCATCATTTCATTAAGCTAAATTAATGCACATACATATATATATATATATATATATATATCTGAATTATTTATGGATAAATTCCTCAACAATTACTAACATCAGCATTCTCTCCACAGACTTTACATCAAATGTACATAGTTAATGCTGGAAGTGGATTCAAACTACTATGGAACACAGCAAAAGGCTTTCTTGATCCAAGGACTACAGCAAAGATTCATGTACAAGAATATTGAAACTTTTGATCATGAAGATATATATATATATATATTTTTTTATACATGATTTCTTCGACTTTTAAAGATTAGTTTTCAACTAATCAACAAGTATTCTTTGATCATACAGGTTCTTGGGAGCAAATTCCATAATAAATTATTTGAGATTATTGATCCGAGGTTGTGATTTCTTCTGTATTATTACTGAAATGTCTTACTGCCTGCTTCTTTTTTGGACTTCTAACTAAACTTGTTTGTGGAAAATCTCCCAAGTAGCCAATTGCCAGAGTTTCTTGGTGGAACTTGTGTATGCCCTAATAATGGCGGTTGTCTTAGATCTGACAAGGGACCCTGGAATAACCCAGAAATAATGAAGGTAGTATCCTAGTCAGCATGCAAAAGGAAAATGAATAAATAATCTTTAGTAGCTCTCCTCTCTGTTCTCACATATTGATGTCTGAGAAATGCCCTGAATATTATTTTATGCCCTAAGCTAAAATTCATTGCCTGTATTCAATATTCAGTTGATACACTCCGGAGATGCCTTGTATTTGAGGAAAACAGAAAGTTCTTCTGAGAATAATAATTTGGAAGTCAAATTTTTGTCTACTAAGGTTCCTCTCACTTTTTTAATCAAGTTCCCTTTGTCTACTGTCAATTTATCATCATTTATCTATGCATCATTGTCCATGTTAATTGGTTCTTTTGGCAGGTTGCAAGTAGTGAAATATCTTCTGATGTGAGGCCAGATGCTTCAGATTTCATGCAGTTAGTGTCAGTTTCTGACAGAGTAATTGGCTCTGCTCCACCTTTTGGGCTTCTCTTCTCACTTTTTTTATAAATTTTTTCTTTTATAAGATCTTAGCCATTGGACTTTATAATCCCTGTTTCTTTGTGCTACTCTGCAAAAATATTATTTAATATTTATTAATCCTTGTGTCAGGAAAAGATGAATGGTCCTAATTCTATGCATGGCATTATTGAAGCAGAAAATGCTGCAAGAATTGAAGAAACTAGTTCAACAAGTGAGTGGTCACTCACTGATTCTAATTGAATATTGTATGTGTTTATACATTTGAATTAAATCTGATCATTCAACGCATTATCAAAGCATGTTGTGGTTGTTTCCTAAAATGTCCTTGTGAGGTAGTTGTTCCAACTATATCATAGTAAATAACCATCATGTAGACCAATAAAGGGAGCATTAAAGCATAACTAGTAGCAATAATCAATCTCTGGAAGGAACAGTAGAAATCATGTCCAATCATCCACGCTATTAAGATATGGAAGTTGGTACTTATGTGTGGTTTCTTTAGCCATGCTGGGTTTGAACTTGTATGCTCAATCAAATTTTGAAGTGTGACTCTTAAACTTTTAACAGATATATTTGCTACTATATCATAGTAAATAACTATGGTATAAACCAATAAATGTGGCATAAAGCAAAACTAGGAGCCCTACTATCTGCTTTCATGTGTAGGACAAATTCTCTCAATGAGCCATGCATGATTAAGATATGAAAGCTATCTGATTTCACTGGCCATTCTGGGTTTGAACTTGTATAGTTGCATTCACAATCACAATTCAAGTTTTGACTCTTAGAATTTTAATAAAGCTGACTCATCATTATTGCATAAGAACATTATCTCCTAGTTCTCAGCACTAGAACTTCTTATTGCCTATGCTAATTTTTCTCTTGTAAGCTAGCTTTTACATCTTAATTTGGTGATGTTGACAGATGATATAACTAGTGATGTTAGTCCAAGAAATCTGGGAAAGAAGTTTGTTCACCATGTAATAAGTTTTGTGGTTCACTTTGTACTCAAATTGCTAGCATGTCTATACTTCTTAGCCCCTGGACTGGGAAGATTTTTGGAAGCACAAGATTCAAAACAACAAACAGAAAACCAGTTGAATCACCAGATGGCAGATTCAGGGTCTCTAGAAAATGGTATTTTGACAAAAGCAGAAGAGGACTCACTCCATCCATGTTGGCAGCGGCTACAAAATTTGGAAACCTTGGTAACTGAGCTTTGTAACAAGCCCACAAACATTCCTCCTGAAAAAGAAGATATGCTTCTTGAGTCATTGAATCGTATTAAATTTATTGAACAAGATTTACAGAGAACAAAGAAAGTAAGACCTCTTTTTTACAATTAGTCTTTATTGCTAACAGTTTTTGCCCCTTTGTACATTCTGGTCACTAAAAACTCTTATTTTTTGTAGGCATTGCTTGCAACTGCATCAAAACAAGTGGAGCTTGCTGAGTCATTGGAACATTTAAAAGAGAGCAACTTAGCTGTAAGTTCCTATTTTCTCTTGAGGAAGAAAATATAAAACTGGTATTGCTACATTAGGAAGATAAGAATGAGCTTTAACTTTTTAATGTAGGAAAGTAATTCGGTGACACAGTCTGTATTCTAATTGTTTGCCAAAGTGCTGCCAGTTCATCTAGATGGCAATGTATAACCTATGTGATGGATGTTTGAACCAATTTATGATTAAAAGAAAACTGGGCGGGAACTTAAGTTTCAACATCCTATAGATTATGATCAGAGTTGTAAATGTAACTAATAGGTACAGCATACCCCTAAATAGTTGGAATTCTTGATTTATCATTTCTTGTAGCCAAAAGAAATATGGGATATAAGTGTAGATGCTTCACAACAACAAAAGCTGTTACAATCTAGTGGTAAAGCTGTTAACAAAGCTCTCCCCACCCCGCACCCCCCCCCCCCCAAAAAAAAAAAGAAAAGGTTTTCTGTGTTGTATGAAATCGAAATTTCTTTTCCTTCGAACTCCAGTGATGTGGTTGGCCTGGTTGAGTCAAAATACCCGTCTGATTTGTCTTGAGTAGAAAACTAAGCCGGCTTATTGGACTCTTCAAACACCCCCTTCTCTGTGTTCATGATTTTTATCCTAGTTTGCAGATATTTAAGGTGCAATTATTATTTATAGGAAATGCTAAATAATGCCTAATGTCACTAGTTAAGGTGGTTTTTTTTTTTTTTCAATTCCTAATCTACCCCTGACCCCACCCTACCCCACTAGCTACAGTATACTTACCTGCGGGGAGGGCATTACGTGCAGCAACCTCATGCCATCTGATCTGAACTCAGTTGTGAGTTGGCAGTTAAGGTTGGTATTTAAGGAAACAAAAGTGCAACTAATGAAATGTTTCCCCTTGAATTTTGCAAAAGTAGTGCATTTAATGTAAAAGCCAAATAATAATTAAATAATCCGTAACTAATGCCTATAAGCATCTGTTAATCACATCCTTTTAGTTTAAATTCTTTGTATTTATTTTCATATTTACTCCTAAATATGGAATTGACTATATAATTGATTACTTTTGGATATGTTCAAATAAAGCACACATTCTGATGGTATTGGGTATGGCATTACCAGGGGACATATTCATGTTGGTGAGGAAACTACAAACCTTTGAACCCAGGAAGATGAATTTACTTGTTTGCTTGACCGTGCCGAGGTAGTCAATATGCATCTTCTGATGTCTCTCAACCATGCTATAACAGCAAGATTTGGAAATCTTTTGCCTGATTCAATCAGGTTAACTAACTCTTCACATCGGTCTCACTTTTATCTTATTCTGAATATTCTATCTCATTTCTGATTTTATTTTTATTTTGGGGTCTTCAAATTGGCAGTCAAGGATGATGTGAGACAGTTGTCACATGAATGGAGAGCTACTATCTACTAGACCATGGAAATAAGTTCTTTCTGACAAGCATAGTAGTTATAGATGTAGTTGTGCATATAGTTTTCAAGTTTCTACACTTAAATATGATTTTTTCCCCAAATTGCTCCCCTTTCATTATTTTTTCCTCGGGCTGTTATAAAGAGCAAATATTTGAGGTCACCCATTCATAACAGTAAATGCGTACGTCGAAAAAAAGAGGTTATGTCACAGCGTTTTGTATTTTAAGGCTAGATTGACACTTGAGATACTTCAAATCTTTAATTATAATGCGAAAATAGATTTGATAGCGAACAGAAGTAAGATATTTCTGATTTTAATTTTTATGTTATTTTCTTTCTCAATTCCAGTTGATCATGTTAGTTATTTCCAGCCAAATATCCAACTGCTTTTCATCTGTCCCCTCATTTATATTATGTTCTTTTTCTTCCCTTCTTAAACTCAACTCTCTGTCAAATTTCTGAATATCAAATCAAGATTGACTAAAGTTCATTATCATTCATCATTCTGACACTATACCTGTTAAGATCAGGAACTTAAATTTACCGTTTCTCACTCTCCATTTTTTTTTTTCATTGAAAGTTGCCAAATTTGTTAAAGAAAAAAAAAATTCATTAATTCCTTCTCTTCGTTGAACATTTGCTATAAGAATGAAAAAGAATACATCTTAACTGAATTTATATAATAGCTCAACTTGTAGAAAGAAAATCCTTTCGAAGAAGAATTGTTTTTTTTAGCAAGAACTTGGCCATCCAAATATTTTTATTTCTCTTGAAATATTGATGGGCCCTTCTAAATATTGGTCACCGGCTAGGGAAACAAACTCTCTTGAGGCCCTTTTTAATTTAGGATGGGCCTGAATGGACGTGACAATCCGGATGTAAATTTCAGGATCCGGATCCATTGAAAATTTTAAAAACGGAACCTAAACTCACCCACCTAATCCACCCATTCCACCGCTCACCACCACCACCATCTACTCCCCTCGACCCAACCTCCCTAAACCTTAGTAATCTAACCCCCCACCCCCACCCTAAATTTTGAACCCCGTAACCCCCATAAAATGTCACATCCATCTCCAGCAGCCGACCCGAAACCTGCGATAAAACCCCAATCCCTTCCTTGGACCCACCAAGAAACCCTCAACCTAATCCAAGCCTACCAAGAAAAATGGTATTCTCTCCAACGCGGTCAACTCAAAGCCAGCCAATGGGAAGAAGTCGCCGTTACGGTCGCCGCACGTTGCGGCCTCTTCGACGACTCCGCCGCCAAAACCGCCCTGCAGTGCCGTCATAAGATGGAGAAGCTCCGCCGCCGTTACCGCTCCGAACGCCAAGGCCTCGCTTCGGGAGCCCCTTGGCCTTATTACGATGCCATGGAAGCTCTCGAACACGGCCCTTTGCCTATCTCGGCTCGACCATTGATTTCCTTGGTTCCAACCAGGGCAAAAAACTTATATTCCGAAAATGGACATGAAGCTGGAAATAATTACAGTAACGACGAAAACGACGTAGTTGAGGAGGAAGATGATGATGATGAAGAAAGCCCGTTAAGTAAAAGCCGCAGTATTAATCATATTTTGCGGCGGCCCAGTGTTGTGAACCGTTTTTCTGGGTTCTTAAGTGGGGGGAGGAGAAGGGTTAGACCGGAAGAAGAAGGGAATGATGACATGGCAGTTGTGGGAGTGGAGGAAGAGAAAAAGGGGGTGGAACTAGCAGTGGAAATAAGGAGATTTGCGGAGAGGTTTATGAGGGTGGAAAAGAAAAGGATGGAAATGATGCAGGAAACTGAAAGGTTTAGAATGGAAATGGAAAATAGAAGGATTGAGATGATAATGGACTCACAGAGGAAAATTGTGGATATGATCTCAGCAAGTTTCAGCCCAAACAAGAGAAGGAAGGTGGAGGAACAATTGGGTTCCTGAAGAATCTTTCAAGGTTGAAAATGTTGCGCTTCTTGTTCTATGCAGGTTCAGGCTGTATAGACTGACTTTTAGATGGAACTAACAAAATTTTTGAAGTGCAATTGTTTTATCTTTCATTGAAATTTTTGTCCACGGTAGGAAGATATAATGTTCTTTAAGGTTTTCATGTTCGCTGTTGTTTATGAAATACTACTAGTGTTGAACATTTTATATCAAAATTTAACTTGTGTTCTTCTTTGTTTTGATTTTGCTGTCTTAGTGTAATGTTATATGACCGATGGTATGGCTTCTTTCTCTTCCTTGGACTATCCTAGTAGTTGTTACTTGATGTTTGGATTAATCTTGTTTCTTACTTTCAAAAGTTCATTGGTAAAAGAATGAACCATATCTTTCTTTAGACATGCATGTCTCTTTCTTTAGTCTAGTACAACCATTTTTCCCATTTTGGATTTGCCCTCTTCTCCCGATTTTTCTTGTAATTGAAGCTCCTGATCATGATCCAACTTTCATACTGTTTTTATCTATTAATTTTGTAGTGTTTGATCTTGATATACCTATTTTATGTACTTATTTATTACTCTCTAATGTTGAATGTCAACAAATTTAATGGTTTGTTGCCAGTTCACTAGTTTCTAGCTTAAAAAGCCTGTTTTCTTCTACCATTGGCTTTGATTGATGCGCATAATGGTATAATGGGGTCCTCTCTGCCATAAACACCACATTTTTTTACCAAATTTTTCTTACCTTTGGGATTTTACAAGTTCTTCACTGGTATCATGTTTAAAGTTTCCATGCCTTATTATTTCACCTATAGCAGGTCTTATATGGACAAACCCTATTAAATTTCCTTCTGTTTTGGCTTTAGAAGAAAGAGGATTAAGCATTCTTTGATTGGAATCTCATACTGCTGAGAAATGCAAACTATCTCATTAGGAGTTTGAGAACCAATCAAGCCCTAAATCATACAAGTGTTTGTGCGTGTATGTGTGGCCCCTTTGCACTAGTAACTTGAAAGCAGGAGATATGTTCTTTAAAAATCTCTGTTCATATATGCCCAACCCAGATATTAGTTACATACTGCTTGTGGTCTCATGGAACTGTAGCCCAAGAATGCACCTAACACAAAAGCAGTTTATAACTAACGATAATTTGTGTGACCTCCTTTTTCAGTGTCTTTTATGTCATTTGATTTGAAGCTCTGGTTAAAGCCGCAGTGATATGGTGGTATTGCCATCAATAGGGGAGGTATTTGATCAGGGCTCATGTCTAAAGAGAAGCCAACCCTCAATGAGATGAAATAAGTTTCTCACTGGGACATCGATCTACGTTCATGGGTATTGCATATATTTAAGTATAGTAGTTGAATACTTGAACACTTGTGGAATCTAAGATTCTCCTATACTTATTTATGTATTTATGTATGTATGTATGTATGTATGTATGTATAAGTGAAACTCTTTATTTTAACATCCATGCGTACGCAAAAACAGATGATTGTTCAATTCAGTTAAACAGGGAAACCTAATTAGATAAATTTGCAAGGGCCAAGCAAAAGAACAAACAGGAATGAGATGCAATACAGTTTCTGGAGTGCCCAAGACGATTGGCTTGTTCCGAGATTGAAATTTGAAACAAATCAAATCAAAGATTATCGTAAGATCCAGAGTGCATTTCAGATCTCACCAAAATTTTGGGTGTTAAACCTTCAGAACAGGTAGGACCAACTTTTTACCTACAACTACAATACTTCATGCAAGAAACACAGGCTTGTGATTTGATCAGTATTTAGTACACCTGGAATGAAAAATGGAAATGGAAAGGGAAAGGGAAACGGATCAGCGATTAACGGGTTGTTGAATTTGGGTGCCCATGGCAGTGGGAGAAGCTGATCATTCTAAGACCACTGACCAGTGTGTACACCAGAAACCTTATATTCACAAAATTTCCTAAGGCTTTTGCCCATAAAAATGATTGCTACCCACTTAATCTGAAAGGTTAATAATACATTGCACTAATCTATTGGGGCAAAAAGAAATAGGGTCCCTCTGCACATGAGCAGGGAGACCATGGAAAAGGAGGGGAAGAAAGTACAGGAAAAAGATGTGACCTATGTACAAATGCCTCTATATCTGCCTCCATCTTCTCAATACTCTACAGCAGTGGTAATATACATAATCCCCCAAAATCCAAAAAGAAAGTAGAAAAAAAAAGCCCAACATTTTTTCTATGAATTTTCTAACCTGCAAATAGCAACCACCTCTTTCCACATTGCAATGCCCTAAAGGAATAACTAGCTTCATCTGCATAAAACCCACAACTCGATTAGTGTCCACTCTCCATCCAAGTTAAAGAAAATTAGATACCAAAGAAATAAACAAAAAGAAAAGAGACAGGTTTACACAATCCAAATAGTTAGACAGCCAAGCACCCACAAACAGCTCACTGTAAAATTTAGCCATCCATACAAAATTTGAGATTTGGGCCTTCAATTATGAGAGGGTGAATTGGGAGGGAGATAGAGAAAAGCTTCAACAAATCAATTAAGCAACAATGCGTGTAAGAAAGAGAATTACTTGTCATCATTATAATATTACGTGATAATTCTACATGTTTTAATTTTGCCTAGTATGCCAACCAAAAATATATTAACACTATATCACAACTGCCCAAATCTGTAAATTGTTATTACCTGTACACTGCTGTTACAAGGGCATGCAAACCCAACCCTAGCAGGAACTATCGCTGTTGGAACTGCTGCATCCACTAGATTGCTTCATTCCAGCTTAGAATTAGAAGGCCTGTGATACAAGCTGCCCTGTACTGCTTGTAGATGCAGAGTTTGCTGTTGTGACTGCTGCTGCAATGGCAGCTGCTGTGGGGGTGAATTATGCTGATCTTGTTGTAAATGCTCTTGTGGTTGGTAGTGTTGTTGAGATGGTGGCAGCGTGGGAGATGGTTGTATCTGTGGCTGTTGGGGCCACTGTGCCCCAGTGTTATTCCCATGAGGGGGTAAGCCACCTGATAATTGTCTCTGTCCTAACCCTTGACTGACAGAAGGTATTGGATCGCTACCGGCTGACTTTTTAAGAGGGCTCCCTATGGATCCCACTTGAGCAGCCACATTTGACATACCAGGATTATACACTGGTTCTGATGATTTCCGCTGAGAACCAACAGGAGCAACAATCGGTACTGTGTCGTTAACTGAATCAATACCAGCCTGAGGCATTGCCATGGTTGTGGTTGTACCCATCTGTGAAGCATTGTTCATGGGCTGTCGGTCACCTTGAGCTGGCTCAGCTTGAGATTTGCTGGGAGGATCAGAATTCACTTGTTGATTCTGCTGAAGCATCCTTTGAACGGTAGGTTGGTTTTGATTAACCTGCTTTTGGTGTGGTTGTGATTGTAGCTGCAAATGCTGGTGGTTTGAACAAATAGCTGCTGGCAGCACGGTTTGATGCACAGTTGACAGTGTATGACCGGAAGGCACTGTGGAAACCTGACCTTGAGAACTATTATCAGAATGGGAAGCCATCTGCTGCAGTTGCTTTGAAGAATGCGATGCTGTCCCAGAAAATAGCTTTTGCTGAGGCTGGGAATGATTCGAAGATTGAGAAGAAATTAGAGGTTTAGATGGTTGGACAGGGCTCATACCAGACCCAGAATACAACCCCTGACCTTGTATCAAGTGCACCATCTGCTCTCCTTTCTCATCAGCTTGGTTGCCAGGGGCCATGCTAAGGCCATTCAGATGAGCAAGTTCAACAGAAAGGTTCTGATGCACCGGCATGTTCCCTCTTCCCACTCCCTTCAAAAGTTTAGCTTGTTGTTGAGACTGTGTTTGTTGCCGATTGTGAGGGTGGTGCCTGCCAGACTGTTGAAACTGCTGCTGCTGCTGCGGGGGCTGGGGCTGCCGCTGCCGTTGCTTGCCTATCTGATTGTTCAACCCACTAGCACCAGGTTGGGGGTTCCTACCAAGCCCGTGAGGGGCCAAGTGATGTTTCTGTTGGTGCTGCAATGACATAGGAGTCATCGGTGAAGACGGTGTCAGAGGGGGAAGTGATACTGGCTGAGGTGAAGCTTGAGATTGAATCTGAGAACTATTCTGAAGAGAAGAAGAGATGGGAAGTTGAGTCTGAGGTTGGATGTGTGGCATCAAAGTGCTAGATGTAGCAAACTGTTGCTTTTGCTTTGGCTGCTGTTGTTGCTGATGCATAAGAAGTTGATGCTGCTGCATTTGCCTTTCTTTAGTGACACGCATGGCATATGCTTGCTGTTGTGACCCAGTACTATGATTGGAACCTTGTAGATGAGCATGATGAGAGTTGCTTAATGCATGGGACTGCTGCTGCTGCTGCTGGGGATGGCCTGGATACAACTGAACAGGTGGTGCAGTTGATTGATTAGGATAAGCAGAACTCAACCCATTGAAAGCAGGAATTCCCTGGCTATTCCCTTGAGCCTGCATTCGGAGCTCAGGTACCATTAATTGCCTTTGATGCACTAGATATTGGGCAGGCTATAAAAAATAAAAAATAAAGAAAGAAATCTTAGTTTAAAAGTCATTGTACATCACCATAATGTACAAGAATTATACAGTTCCAATGTCCTTAATTATTTAGAAGTTCAATGTAACTTCAAATAAACAAAGTAAATAAATGCCAAATCATTGCATTTCTATAGCCAGAAGAATTCTTTAAAGCTTAAGAGATGAGAATAACAGTTAATCAAAATCATACTAAAGAAAGGTTTACTCATATCAACAATTGATTGCAGAATGGATATTGCTTATCAATCAGCCAGAATACCATCCAACTTGAAGGCGTTGAGGTATACAAAGTCCCTATTGTCCAGCCTATATTAAATTCCTAAATTTCAACAAGTTGACATTCAACTTGAAGGCATTTAAGTATACAAACCCCTATTATCCAGACTGTATTAAATTCCAGAATTTCAGCAAGTTGTTACATCTAAAGAGAGTATTGTTTAGATACCCACAGTTCATTCTCTTTCTGATTGTTAGCCAGAGAACTATGGTAAAGGAAAATTTTAGGTTTTCAGTCATCAAAGAAATTTACTTTGATGGGATTTTTTGCAGCAAGCAACCCTCAGTCATTAAAAGTTCCAGTTACTTTAAAAGGTTAATAGACTATCAAAAAGCATTTTACGAACACCTTATTATTTTACAATTCCAATAGAATTCTCCATAATTAACAATGAAAAATCATATAATTAAAACATGTAGGATTGAAGTCCCTGCATTCTGGAACTGGCATCAATGATAATATACACTAATTATGTGCGGAAATACTGATGCTGATTATTGGTATATAACAATTAACCATTTATATGGAATAAAAGAAGCCCAAGCCGCAATAGTATGATGAAGCATAGACTTGATCATACTGCTCTTTGAAAAGTAAATAACTTACTCGCATCATGTGCATGGCATCATGAGGTCTCAACATCGAGTTTCCTTGACCAGAACCTGGCCCAGAGTGCATATTTACAGGGCTTGGGATTCCCACCATATTGGAGGAGAGCACGCTGCCAGAATTCAGCATTGCTGATGATGCCATTCCTTGGAAGCCTGGTCTTGACATTGGCATGCTTCTATTTATCCCACACATCATGCCCATACCATTTGCACCAGGTAGCATAGGAACCCCACGATCTGATCCAGAAACAGCCCCAGGGAGAGACAAGTTGGACTGCTGAATATTCCTGCCAGATAGCATTTGATTATATTGTGGGGTCCTATGCTGCTCATCAGCTGGCAAAGATGTTATTGGAACACCATATCTACCATCCCTGAGAGCAAATATGACCCAAAATTCATGCCATTAGTAAGTGAAACGCACAGAGAATGCAAGCTACACATAAGCTTTATACCTCACAGATGTATTGAGAGGGGCAGACGGGGATGATAAATTACTGCCAAGCACCATGCCAGAAGATCCCAGCAGTGAGGAATTTCCTCCAGAGGCAGGAAGCATTGATCCCACAGCTCCTTGATTCGATATTGCTAAACCACCAGCATGAGAAGCCTGATATCCAAGGGGTAGAACATCTTGGCTTGATGCAGTGGCATCACAAAGATCGAGAGGCCTTTGTCCAGACAATGAAAAATAAAAATGATATTGCAGCACATTGCAATAAAAATAAAAACAAGAACAACAAAAAACTAACAACTTAAAACATTAATAAAACCAGGACAGCGAAGCTTACGTTAGAACCCCTTCATTTAGGTTATTCGGGCAGACTTGTGAAAGTGCAATAACATGAGAATTGTGGACTGGCACTATCTGCTTCGGATCCTGGTTATCATGCTTTACAATACACAAGAAGATTGAAAGGCCAGGTCAGGAAAGTTTGGAAGAATCAAGGTGAAGTAAACAAAGAGAATTTAGGATGCTTTCAAGTATTAAGACTGTAGGTTTTGTTCAACTCCAGACTTTTTACCACACCAATGAATGCTATCACAATTGTGAACAAAAGGTGAAAATTCTCTGACAGTGGAAAAATTTAGGTTGAAATTTAAATTTCAAAATTCTTTAAAAGCACAATCTTATCTTAAACAAAGGGCATCATACAGTGGGCCACAACATCTCAAGTTCAAAGACAGGTAATTCAATGTTTTCAAAGTAAATCTAAAATTACAATATCTCCTTTAATTGCACCAACTGGTAGATCTCTTTTTAAAGTTCTATACTACTGAAGTGCTAGATGAATTGCTCACACAAAGTATAGCAAAAATGCAAAGAATACTATTTCAACAAAAAAAGAATACAAAGGATACCATGGATTCAGAACAAGCCTCTATTCTATGACTGGGAGCACAGAGAAGGTCATCTTCAACCAACAGAACACTTCCTTTATTGCTCTTCCTACTTATCGAAGAAGCGTTAATGGAAACTGTTTTAAGAAGTTGCAGCTAGAGGACAATGGGACTACCGGTCTGCTGTTTTGATTTACCATTTATTTTCATAATTTTCGGAAAGTTTGAAAGTTCCGTATTTTAATTTCAGTCTCAGAGCACCAACAACCACAATTACAAGATGTGAAACATCATCCATATTTTTCTTTATTTGAAAGGAAAAAGGACAGTACACTGGTGTCGATCATGTGGCATCTGTGCATAACAAATAGAATCCTAAATAGTGCAGCCAGTCTGCCTATTTCCTTGAAGCATAGATCCAAATGTTTCAAAATACGGGAATACAGCAAATCTAGTATATTTTAAATCAACAAGTTCATGCATCTTCAGAAATTAAATTAACAATGCATAAAAGTCTTCTTAAAATGCCAATAGTCAGATATTGCATCAAACTGATATAAAAAACTGCAAAATGAAATTACTGAAGATACCAAAAAGACTACCTTCAACTAGACTGATTTGTTCTTAAAGCTACCAACTCATTAGGATCTCTGGAGATAAAATAAATGTCTGTTTGCGTATTTCCTTGAAGCATAGATCCAAATGGTTCAAAATGACAGAAGTACGGCAAATCTAGTATATTTTAAATCAACAAGCCCCATGCACCTTCAGAAATTAAATTAACATTGCACAAATGTCTTCTTAAAATGCCCATAGTCAGAATTTGCATCAAACTGATAAAAAACTGCAAAATTGAAATTACTGAAAATACCAAAAGACTACCTTCAACTAGTTGATTAAATCAGACTGATTTTTTCTTAAAACTACCAACATGCCAGGATCTGTACAAATAAAATAAATGTACTCTAAAATTCATGTATGTACCTGACTCCACCGGTGGTGCTGTTTCTTGCCAATAAGTATAATTTTCTCAAAATGAGACTTAAGGGTATCCTCTTCCATCGGCCCTTGCAAACGTTGAAACAACTGTCTGGCACTTCCCTGCATGAAATACAGCAGAAGAGAATCATATAAGATAAAATTAGCTTCATGGAATATGTCCTTCATCAATACATTAACAAATATATGAATCTACTAGCTTCTGGGGAGAGAAAGGACCTTCGGAATGCCAGGCAATGTCGATGGATATGACTGGGAAGACCCTGAATCATCAGCACTGTCAGCTCCATCCCCACTCCTATCCATTAAGCTCTTGTGGCGTTCCTTACATTCTTTAGGCTTGTGGAATATGCACTGGGCGAATTGAGATGTCCATGAGATTATTGCCCAATGGAGAAAGGTGAAAAGTGGAAGGGAGGAGCGAGGTGAGGGTGAAAAGACAAAAATAAAACTAGTAAAGCTGTTGTAGATATAGAAAGAAATTATAGACAAATGAAAGAACAAGTAACACTTTTAGAGAAATAGACATATCATTGGCGGCAATTTAGAATTATTTCAGACACATTAGAAGGAAGCCCTAGATAAAAGAATATGTTTGTAAAAACATTTTGCTCAAGTACTAACCTTAAATTGAAGTGTACTATTGATGGCATCACTTACAAGCTCCCAATTTGGACCCAAGTCATGCACAAGGACAACAAGTGCCTGAACATAAATCCAGTAACATCTCAGGGGCCTGGTTGTGATGCTACCAGAAATTGAAGAACAATTTCAAGAAAAGATAACAAAAGTTAACCTGATCTTCAAATAGTGACCATGGACTACCAGAACCGGGCTGAGCAGCAGACATCTGGAAGAAGTTTAATTGGTTTTAATAATTACATCAGAGCTAAGACAACTAAGAAGCACTTGATCAACCAGACCATCAACAAATGGGTAAAGGAAAAAAAATACCTTAGGTGTTTTGGCTTTTCTACCCCTCTCACGACCATGAAATAATCTAATGATTTTGCTGGGGTAGGACATATTACTCATTTGGGACCCTACTGGTGAAGGGATGGATCCACTTGGAGTGCTGTCAAAAGCGTTATCTGGCTGTTGCTTCATTATTTTCAGCTTCTTAGCATTATGTTGCCCATATAAACCTAAGAAAAAGACAGTTGAAAATGTGAAGGGTGAAACAGATAGATATATCGAACCAAGTAACCAACCATTAAATCAAATATGAGAAAAAAGTGCTTTACCATTGGTTCCATTAGAATCAAAATGATGACTCTCTGGTCTCTTTTTGGAATAATCCCTCTGCAAAAGAAACAGCACTATCAAACATGAGATTATCAATCAGAAAAGAGCATATAGTACAAAAAATTTGGCAAACACAAGGTAAGAACACAAGAACATGCTGATAAAGTTCAATGCTGCATAAAAAGAATTATGAGTTATGACACCCTCATATCTATCATGGAAAGCAGGATGCCAACTTGGTCTGATGTAAAATTGAAAATACTGAAATGACATTAAAGCTTTGAAAACGGAATGTTTCCTTAATCAAGAAAATGGAACAAATCCAACTTAATATATTTGGCAATCAACTTAAAAACCGATAATACCTTTGAAAAATGAATCTCATGCTTCGTAAAATTACACTTTTAAAGTAACATACACAATAACCTAAAAATGGTAATTACTTATCCGGGCAGAAAAACATTTTAATTCTTAATAATAAAATAAATATACTAATTTCTTAAAATAGAAAAAAAAATGATTAAGCAAAAGAAAAGAAAAATATATATTTATATCAAGGTAAGCAACTTGGCATGGCAAGGATAACAAAATTCACCTGTACATTGTGAACAGTAGATTCCAGCTGCCAACCCTGATCATATGCAGAAACCTACCAGAAACACAATTTAGGCACCTTTAGAAACTATTAAGGCAATTGAGGAAACTAGCCATACCATTCCAGGGATGAACAAACCCGGAGTCAGTTAAAACAGAAGAATTCCTACATACAAGATTCTTGACCTTTTGCTTTTTTTTAGGTTTTGTTGGTGTTTCTGCACAATCATACAGAAGCTGCCTTTCAAAGTCCCCAATTGATTCAACCTCCATACTTTTCTGGGTCTGGAATCCTCCATGCAAAGTACTCTGATCATCCTGAAAAGAATTAGTATCACCACTAGAAGCATCTGTTTTTGTCGGAGCCTGTAAACCCCCAGCAGCAGCTGCACTACTAAAAGGACTTAAAACCCTCTGCCTGGAACCAGTACGCACACGTTTCGTTGGAATTGGACCACCATTTAGACTATTGACAGGCCTTTTTCCTATCAACATGGCCTGTTGAGCACAGTTTCCATATGGCAAATCAACACCCATTTCATATGGTCTTGCAGGATGGGCTCTCATTGAGATCTTTCGCTTCTTCTGGTTTAATTTTGATAATTTGCTACCTTCAAAGGCTCCAGGCAAATAATATGTACTTGTTTCTCCTTCATCCTCATCATTCACAAAGTCCTCATATCCAAACTCTGAATTTGAAGTTGTAAGGAACTTAAGACTATTCAATGACTAAGAAACTCAAAACAAAAAAAGTCACGGTTACCTGCTCCAGCATCATAAGCAGATGTTTCAACCTCCTCTTGCACACTACTCCCAGTTTTCTGAAAAAAAAAAAAATCAATAATAAGCAAGATTAAGCACAATAGTTCCAACAGCAACACTCGGCAAATTGGGCATAGAAATGGAAATGTATACATTTCTCCATGATAACTTCGACTTATGTATTTTCAGATGAATTATATCAGTCCAGTACGCCGTTCTTCAGATTTTATAAAATACTCCCCCTTATCAAATATAGGGGAAGCAAAAGAAAAAAGACATGTATAAACTCATTAAAGGAATTCTTTTTACCTCAGTCTGTATCAAATATGATTCAATAGATCTTCGGTAGGTTTCCATAGCACCTGAAGGAACTGCATAGAACAGGCTTTCCTGAAAATAAGGTAAATAAAAAGTTTGAGCAAAGAATGTAAAAATAAAGAAAATATTTCCACAAGATAAGAACTCCAGAACCGAGCATACAGACTAAAACAGATACAACCTATTAAAAGAGATAGATCAAAAAGCTATATTCAAAAGCCAACAATAATGTGTAAATAAACTTGAAAAGCCAAGAAAAATTTAGGCCATACTTCTGTTAGGTATTCATCCCAAGAAATGTCCATAATGCCTAAGTCAGATATCCTGTCAGGAGTTGCTGGTGCTTCAGCTAGAAGTGATGGAACAGGGGAGCTGTTATATTTCAAATATCTAAGAGCATATGCCCAAATAGCAAGTTCATTGTTCTTTCCAGTGTGCTGCTTCTCCTCCTTGTTTGCATCCTGCTCCATAACATGTTGCACAAAAAGATAAGACAGAAAATACAATATTTCAAGGTGTGATACAATCTAGAACATGAATATAAGGGAAGTATTTGGCAGTTTTGCAAGAGAAAGGAACTGAAGGCAAGGAGAAAGATCCCAAACAGCTCTAGAGCTATAACTCAATTCCAAATATTTAAGTGGTTATTCTGAATTCTAGTCCTGAAATTCAAAGGCCTTTATGCATTGTCAATTGAATGTTAACTTGTCATCCAGAGCTTACAGACTCAAGCATCAAATAATCCAACCAACCCCAGCAAGACAACAAAATAACAAAACATGGAGACCATATTTACTAGAAATTACAATTAAGATCCCAAAAGGTTACAATTAAAACAAGATTACAATCCATATAACTACCCAAGTTCTCAGTAGCCTCCTCTCTACATTTCTAAAATAAGTCACTTCCTCCCCAGATCAAGTAAAATTAACTTCATAGCAAGAAAAAGATACCATGTATTGAAGAACAGAACTTATAAGCAGATAACAAACATAAATAACCATAAAAACCAGTTACTGAATTTGTTGAATATAGAATAAACTAGCACCGAGCTTAAAGAAGAAAATTAATCATAAAATATTATAATCATCACTATCATCACATAGAAAGACATGCATTAATTGATTAAAAGTAAAGACCAATAAAAGTCCAACAATATGACCAGCACCATATCAAGTTCTGCGGTCTTGTTCTCAGAAACTTCATTGGCCCTTGACCCCACCAAATCATGGCCACAGTTCTTTGGACCAAGACTTGCATCCTTACTATTTAGAAGCACCTCCGCTGAAAGCCAAAAGTCCATGACAGCATTAGCAAGGGTTAAAGCTACTTTTTTGAGTTTCCAATATTGATTTTGTTCGTCAAATTTCAATCGCGAAGTAAAAGCAACACGTCGACATATTTGAGCGGCAGCAGTCATCTTCCAAAGACGCTCCTATAACATATAAAGAACATAAAAGGGAAGTTTACACGCAAATTTTGTCAATTATGTTCTCTGGTCAACTTTATATACAGGTATACTAATTAAGTAAAGCTAATGAATAAAAAAGCTCTCAATAGGAACAAAGAATGCAGAAGATGAATTTAATTTATATTTTATAATAAAATAATACCTGAGCAAAATCATTTGCCAACCATGCCATTTCCTCAAGGACAAAGTCCCAATGAGATCTTCGGCAATTCTCCAAGGGTAAGGTACCAACAGATAGCTCTGCAATCCTTTTCCGCTTAGCCTGTTTACCATAATGGCCTTTTAAGCTTTTTAAAGAAAAATAAAATACTTACAACTAAATTTAAGAAATCACTGGGCATATATCAATCAAAAAGATAAACAAACCACCTCTATAACCCGTGCCTCTTCCAAAATGGAATCTTCATGTGCCTCATCCACCACTTTCACATGATTATCCATACTAGTTTGAGTATCACCATTTGCAGTTGAGGTTCTTCCTGACAAAATCGTCTCAGGAATCTCACAAATAGTGTTATACATTGTGCCTTGAGGCCTACTAGCAGAAAAGTTTTCCTTGTTGGAGTTAGAATTATCAACCGGAACAGTAATAACTTTCCTATCAGCTTCTGATATAGTATGATTGCTTGGTTGCGCCTCATTATTGGAAGGACAACTCACCTCATTTTGCAATTCAGATCTAATTTCCTCCTCCACTTTGACAGTAGAATCATTAAGAGAGTGATTTTGATTCACAGAAGTGTTAGAATCACGAATGACAGCAGCATTATCAACAGCCTTGATCTCATTCTTTTCTTTTGTCATTTCACCAACAGCTAAGTTTAGTGACTCCTCATTTTCTGATGGCTCTGTCATGGGCTTTCCATTAGAATCAACATTTTTTGGATTAATACACACATCATTATCATTATCATTATTTACATCTAAGCTTAAGCTGTTTTGAGTGCAAGAGGACTCTGAATCCAATCGCTTCGTCCTTGTTGCTGCAGTGCTATTTTGCCCTTCATTTGGTATGCTTTTCCTATCTATTTTGGCATCACCAAACCCATTTAGCTGATTAGAACTAGTTTCATTTTCAGCTTTTGTTGCAGCTGTACCAGGTGGACATTCAAGACCGGTTGAAATTACCTGTTCCTTCCCTCCAACAAGATCAGATTCCTCAGAAGCCAAATTAACAGGAGTTTTATGAGCCTCCACTTGAGCAGGATCATTAGGCAGGTCATCTATAAAGCTTTGTGAAACTGTAACATCAACCTTGCTTTCACATAGATCATCTTTTGACTGGTCAGTCGTTTCTTCCACAGCCTGAACACCATCCAACTCCATATTCAACCGATTATCAGAAGTTATCACCTTTGAAGCCAAATAACCATTTGAAGTTGCAGATTTTGTGGCATTAACAGAGGGCATATTCTTGTCCATTTGGTTATTTGTTTCAGATGTCAAACCCTTCACATCCTTTGATGCTCCACGAGCAGATAAAGATGAGCCATGACCACCTCGACCCTGAACCATATCTGTTGAACTTGATCGAGCTCCATCTCGATTTATTTTGGACCTGTTTCTTCGAGCGTATGGGCGAAAAATAGCAGAATCTTCTGATTCCTTTGCATTTTGAGTCCCATCCATCTGAGAAGATTGCTCTGATGGAACAACATTATTCCTCCTACGAAGATGCATAGACTTCCTTTCACCTTCAGGCAACTCATTTTCACCATCAAAAAGTAAGAGATTATCAGCACTATGGGGTTCACAAACTGCAGGAACCCCTGGTCTACCACTACTCTCTACCGAATCGCCATGAGGTGAGGCAGTCAGTGCAAAACTACCTTTCGCCTCACTGTAATAAAAATGGATAGGGGAAGCATCATATAGTTACTCCAATACAATTTAGAACCGTAGTTCTGTAACACACAACAGTAAAAACAATATACCTGGTAACAAAATTTTCAGCTAGCTGATCAGTAAGAGAAGTAGACTGGAAACTAACTGAAGCTGCATTGCCAAATTTGAAATCCAAGGGATTGCCACCCTGACAGAAATGTGTTTTATGGTGAATATTAATCTATAAGAAATCAGAAGTAGCAAGAGAAGACAAAAAAGCATACTTTCTCAAGAAACTCTAGTTCTCTTCTCCTTTCCTGGCGAACATCATACTCCTGCCTGTTATAGACAGGAGTAAAAAATGAAAGAAAATAAGTTGCCTGTACCTAGGGATGTGAACCAAGTGCATTTTTCTGGAAAATTAGAAAGGTATTAGTAAACAAAAGTGGAATGTAAGTATCACCTAAGCTCTGCTTGAGCCTTCTCAATAGCTGCTCTGTGCGGAGAGGTTTTGAAACCAGTTCCAATTCCACCGTCAACAACCCCTCCCATGAAATCAACCTCAGCATTTACTAAGAGAGCAGATCCTGACTTACATCCATGCATCCCTACCAAAATATCTACAGGCTGGCCGCTCCCATCGATGCAAAAGGATGATATTGGTCAATACCTACAAAAGATGTTTGAAAAAAAGGGAAAAGAAAAGATAAGAATAACAACTAAAGTAAATTGAAAGTAAGGCAAATAATGAATCGAAAAGAAACAGCAAACAACAATGAACACATATTTTCCCCTCCAGTAAGTAGCAATGCAGATACCGTAATGACCACAGTAAAGATAATGTTCTTCCTTCAATAAGATTCAAGTTTGTAACAATTCACAAACTGATATCATCAAACTCACTCAAGATAATCAAAATATAGGAAGTTTTCCAGAAGCTCAGGTATAGATAAAACCAAAACCAAAAAACAAGGTAGAAACTCCCAACAAATGGACAAAAATACATAAAAGAGAAGAATTATGCATGCAGTGCATACATTTTTTACCATAAGAAGAATCACTTTAGAAAGATTTTTCCTGGAAAAGAACAAAACGTATGCACAAAATGACTTGAACAAGATTAAGGAATAAGGGGCAAAAATATTGTTCCAAGTGAGTGATTTTCTTGCAAATAAAGGTGCTTCCCACTTTTTTCCATTCTTTTCCACAATGGGTTTCCAGAAGGGAAAAAAGGTGTTAAAAAAATAGATCATCAATAGCACATCAATTGCATATCTTTCACCTCTTAATTCCCAATCCTGCTCAGCAGCTTCACAAGAACTGAACATAAACAAATTATCTCTAAAAGCAATTAAAGTTCGCTCACCACATTATATATATTCAAAAACACAAAACAAAACAAGACTTGCTTGGGGAGAGGTTGCCACTAAGTTCTGGACGGTTAAAAAGCTTGATGAAGGAAATGCATAGTCTGTCATTAATCCGAACACAAAAAGCAATGCCGAATTATAGTAATTAAAAATTCTATCATTGCCAACTGATAAGCTTACTTCATATTATTACATGCATACACATAGAAGTAAATAATAGCATGTAAAGAGCTTGACACCAGCAATTCTCTCCAAATTCCAGGAAAATAACCATTAGGAGTCCAAAATCAGTAGCTAAAGAACGGAACGTAGAGCCTAATGCGCATCACCAGCACTCAACTTCTAATTAATGTAAATAAACACATAAGAAGACCACTTACCACGTAAATCCACAAGCATTGAATCGAAAAGCGTATAGAAAACTATAAGAGAAATAAATGGAAAACCTAAACGCATTGAATCACGGAAATTGTGCCCTAATGTGAAACACTACTCAAATTCTAGGGTTTCCAAAGCAAAAATTAAGCGCGAAAATAACCTGAATTGGGATACAGAGTCGAACAATTGGGAGCTAGGGCAAAGCACGTTGGAGCATGTAAACGTTCCCGCTCTTTTCAACACTCTCGCTACCTCTCTAACTCTCTCCTAGGGTTTTGAAGCTTCGAACCCTTTCCCAACGTCGTGACCTCAATCAAAACGACATGAATTAACCCTAAAATACTACACCTCCAGGTAAATGCAAGCCATGAGCGCGTTGTCGAGTCCCTCTCTATTAAGAGTCCTTTGCGTAATTTTTTTCGCTTTCGCTCTCTAAAAAAATTTTTGTGGGAGATTTTTTTTAGTTTTAATTTTACTTTTTTTAGTTTTTTTTTTTTTTTTTTTTTTTCTGAGTGTAGGTTTTGTTTGGCTTGGCTGCCTTTCGGGGTTACCATGTGACTCCGCTCAGTGAGTAGTGGGCTTAGTTTTTGCCTGAGGAGAGGAAGACGACGAGGCTAAACAGGCTTTGGGCTTTTTAGTTTAGTCTATTAATCGCTCGCCCAAAAGAAAAAGTTTTGCCTTGTAATTTGCTATATTTAGTTTAAATAATTATTTTCTACCCAAATTTTTAATATGATATCAATGTGTCTACATTAAAATTTTATCATCCAAAAAAATAAAAGAATATACTAAAATCTTCAAATTATATTTAAATTATATTTTAATGTGTTGCAGTAAAATTTTAAATTTCTTTATAAATTTATGTTTTCTATTTTATATTTCTTCAAGTTTTTTTTTTTAAAATAATTTTAAAAACATATTTTTTACATTGATATAATATTTAAAATTGTAATTTTAAAGTCCTCTTCATAAAAATCAAATTTCATTGGAAAAAAAAAAAAAAACTCATCTCCTCACCAACTAACCCTTGTGTTTACAAAAAGTAAACTTAATTTGCCCTTTTCAAGTTTATCTAAATCTTATATATATTTCAAAAGCCCACTATGACAAACCCAAAAAATAACAGCCCCTTTTTTTTTTTTCTTTTCATAGATACAACCTTTCTTTCTTTGACTTGGTGCCATTCCATGATAAACACACAAATATTTTGTAATGCATTGGAATAGAGCAAGTAAGCATAATATGATCCCAATGCTTATTTTAATGTTCAACCAATATAAGAGTCAGCGTCTAATTTCAATTAATCAAGTATTTTATTTTATCAATTTCATTTATTTTATAAAAAATTTACAATATTATGCGCCATCATTTCATCAACAGCAATGCGCATGTGATTCTGATTTGTACATTTAACATTATCTTCTTCAATTTTCTTTTACTATTTTTTCTTTTGTATTTAGAAGTAAATTTGTCCATAAATAGTCAAGAATTCAAGAATTCAAATGCAAGGTGCAAATCCTTTCTATATTCTATTGTCTCTTCTTCATGCATTTTACAATTTACGTACATATAAGTTGAAAGAAGGATTTTTAGTTAATCTTCTTCATTTGTTTTATGATTCTTTTCTGCTTTAAAATGCCAGAAACTTGAACTCAAGAGAGACATTTCTTTTTTCTTTTTTTTTTTTTTCAAGAAACGTGGGTTCTGATGAATTCTATTTTTGCGGAACTCATTTTTCTTTTATATATAGTTTGATTGGTTCATTTGTTTAAAATGGGAATAGAAACTCAATCTCTTTATGTTGGAGGTTGGAGAAAACATGCAATATTATATAATATAACCATGCATTAAAGGATGATAAAGCCTAATCCTTTATTCCAGTTTTTATTACTTTCCAATGGATCAAAAGCTTTAATCCAAAACGCGATAAATGGATAAACGTGGAAAAGGGTCGTACAGAGGAGGTGGCAAAGACAGAGGGAAGCAACCAGCTTCAGCCTTCTCTTCATCAACAAAAACACATCATCCTCCAACTGCTGATGAAGTTGCAGTTGATGTTAGCCATGCACACATGATAAGAAAGCAAGAAAGAAAATTTTGGCTCCTTGATCCCCCACAGTGAAGCAAATGACCTAATTACCGCTGTCAGAGACTGGAAAGTGTAACTAATGTGGAATGTAGAAATTTGCAGTAAGCCTACTAGTTTTGCTATCATTGGATTGATTTTCATGGCTTTTACCTTGTAAGTAAAAATCTGCGAATTTTATTTTTGTTGCACCAAGTTCATCTGCGCCAACGAATTCTGTCCGAAGGGAGTTTGGAGTAAGAGAAATTTACCCAAAAGATGGAGTTGCATCATCAGGCCTAGGAACCTCTGAAACTGCCAGTGCACATCCCATGCCCGGGGTGATAGGAGGACAGCCATCACAACAAATCCAACCATCATCACCAAATCTGAATTCACAACTAGTCAATAACAATCAGCTGTCGACTGGCTCTCAGGCTGGCTTCAATTTCAAATCTCATTTGGTAGATCATCCTTCAAGTTCATCTCCCGGAGTACGTCCGATGCTAGGGGTGATTGGAGGACAACCATCACCACAGGTTCAGTCACTAAGACCGCAAAAACAGGCTCAAATAGTTTCTTTGCAACAGTGGGAGGTCCCAGCTCTATATTCCACAGGCATCCAAGGAAGCACCTCTGGCATTGATATGTGCAAAAATCTCTGTGTTATTGCGAATTTCATTTTTCAGCTGTCCGGTTACAGGATTTACCAATTTCTTTTAAATGCTGCAATAGAGTTTCTCATTATGCTATTGCAATGATACTTATTAGGAAATTGATGAAAGAAAAAACTTTCTAGTGGCCAACAATATTTACTCCTATATCACTCATCATAATCTTTAACATTGCATCAGTTGATTGTTGATCTTCTTGAGGGGAAACCAAGTGCTTTTGTACGAATATGTGGTTAAACAAAGGCTTTCTGTATGGTTCTCCTGATATACATGGTTTTCTTAGGCTTTTCTAAATAATTATTATTTAAAACGAAATGAAAAGAAATTAAATCACATTGACTAGAAAGAGTCGATTATAACCCCTCTCTTTGACCCCTTTAGAGCACCATCGTCTAGTAAGTCTACCCTTAAGGTGAAAGAAAGAGTCATTTCTTTTGTTAACGCTCTATATTTCTCGTTTTCAGTTCCTGCTCCAAGTTCATCGGCTGAAAAGGTTTCACTTGAAAGGGAAATTGAACCTGTAGCAACAGAATCTCAAGCTGCCTCCATCCAAAGGGAAGAGGCAAACTTTTTCCAAGCTCCCGATGGGTCTTGATACGCAATTCCTGGTTCAGCCTGCCGTCTATTTGGTAAGTGCACAGAACTTCTGCTTTTCAATTTGTACAAAGAAGTTCTACAAAAGGACCTGCAATATATTTTCTTTCTTTCTCCCCAGCTCCTCAGTCGAATTCAGCTACAACAATGGAGACAACAATAAACAATATTAAACCCTACGGTTAAAAATCATCTTCCAGTGGTTGGTTGTAAGCTTCTGTTTTTTCATAGTCACGGCTACACTGAAGTTCATTCTAATATTTTTACAGTCCCAGAGCCAAGTTCCTCCACAACAAAAGTACCAACTCAAACTTCTGCAACACCTGCATCAGCTCAAACAGTCAACGAGACAACGCAAATGCAGACAACTGATTCGCGGCCTAGAGGTTCTTTCTATTTATCGACTTTTAGTAATGCAAGAAATTTTATTATTTGCTACTATATTTGTTGATAATTTAAAATATGATGCATCCCACATTAGATAGAAAGATTTAATTATTGAAGAGCAAAGTTAATTTTTGTATTAATTTTATAAATATTTTAAATAATTATGTTTGAATAAAAATAATTATCATAAAACAAATAGTTATAACTATTTGAATATAAATATATTATTATTTATAAAAATCATGATTAACCATTTGAATAGAAGTTTATGTTTGTTCATTTATTATAAATAAATATTTTAATATAACAATTTTCACTACTTCTAATTGGAGAGTTTGAGACTTTGGTATATCATAAAAGTATAATTGCATTGAAGAAAGTGTTGTTAACGCCTCAAAGCCAAAATTCTTTTTCTATTATTTCTCTTCTCTTATTTATTTTATTCTAACAATTTAAAATAATTATGATAAATTTATATTTCGCATAAGAAAGATATAAGGAAAAGAAATTAGCATGATTTGAAGATCATTATTAGAAGAGGCTTAAAGTAATAAATGATTAATGTTTCCATGAACCAAAATGTTTATTTTCAAAAGATCTTCAGTAGAGGTATATATTTTATTTTTTGCATAATTACTGGTAAAAAAATTGATTGAATGAGATAAACAAGTTAAAAATTAATTTCATTAGTATGTAAAGTCAAAATATAGTATGCAAAATATTTATTATATTATATAAGTTTACACATATACTGAAATTAGCTCCCCAATTGGGTTTAATAAATTGTATTGTATCTATTTGAAAAATCGATACTTATAAAGATTGAGATAAGAAATAGCCTGAAAACATAAAAGAGAAAGACATGAATTGATTTACAACCAAAAGAATTATCACTTGTTATAAAGTAACGAATTAAATTGAGTTCTAAAGGAATGACCGATTGTTTAATTATCATATCTTGATTATATATAGAACAAGCAAATTGTTTCATGATTTCTATGAAAAAAATAGAAAATAGGTAAAGGTATTTACCATGAAAAATTAAATGTAAGTCGAGAATATATACAAAAAATAATATTTTACTGCAATATTAGTTTTATTTTTAAATCAGTGCACCAAAATTGAGATAATAAATTGAGTCAAGCTATATGTATGGTTCTATCTTTATTAGTCGTTTATAAATCAAATATTGATTTTTTTTAATTTATTATTGGTTTAAATTTTGATTAGTGTTCAATTTTCATGAAACCCAATTAAAATTAGATTGATGTATGTGAATAATTATTATTAAGATATGGTATTTCATAGATTAATTGGTGGATAATAAACTAAATAATTGTTATTATCATAAACATAGGCAATGTAACATGTATTTTGCCTGCTGGATGTGTTGCACTATAAAATAAAATTTTATTGTGAACAATCATAAAGTGAAAATCATAAATCGTCATCAAAGAGTTAATCAATAATTACACAAAAGCATTGTTTGTTTTTTCATATAAAGATATTTTTGCTTTTTTTACTTAAAAAATGGCCTTTTGTAGGTTGTTAAAATGAAAAAGTGCATAAGTTTTCAAGGTTTTCAATAGTTTAATGACAATGACAAGGATGTAGCGGGTTGTACACCATAATAACATATGGGCTTAGATAATAATATTGGTTTGTGAAAGCTATAAACCTTGAAGTTAACCAATCAATTATTTAACCAATGCAAATCTATCATAAGTTTTTTGCATGAAATATGAGTAGAACTCGTATTATAATTATTGTTTATGCTATTTTATGAAAATAATTCTTTGGATTCATGTTTCATAACTCGCATTGAAATGGTGATCTAGATATGAACATATTGATCATAAAATAATTGTGCAAGTATTTGAAATTGGAGTTAAATATACTATGGACTCTTATTATACAT